CAATCGCTTGAATAGCAAACTTCATATTATATGTCATATGACATGAATTCATCATAATGTCTGAATAAAACAATCTTGATTACTAAAACAGGAAATTTGTTAAGATTATTGAAGACAATTTGCATCACGAACTGACCATGTGAATCAGACAGTTACCATCGATCAGAATAGTGTGAAATGATTGGATTTGGAAATATAAACCAGTGTATACTGACTCAAGGGTTTAAAGATAATACCCGAAGGTATGGTTTTTGACTTGCGAAAGGGTTATAGGTATGCAATGTTGAGAAATCTTATACTAAGAACAGAAAGCTCTATTATGCTCTCAGGTTTCTAATAATTCCGAAACGAATACAACCTAGAGAAAATCTAATTTGTCTCATATATGCTGATAAATATTTTCGTAAGATGTATCTGATATGGGAAATACTATAACTGAGTTGACTAATTAATCCAAAAGCTTACAAAAATTCCAGTATTTATTTTCGGATCCTGAAATTATGAATCAGTATACATCATACATATATATATATATATATATATACCCTATCTAAATGTTCCCAGATACACAGTCACTGCCAGGGAAGTCTTGCTCACTGCCACGAGTCTCATGGCAAAGGGTATTGTTTACGAAATTCAGAGGACGACAACTGAATTTCCGACGCTTTAAAAGGGTTGGCGAATATAGAGGACACACCTATGGGAGTTGAAAAACCCTGATTTCAAACCAATTGTGAACATGGACTACAGAATCCTGAAGAAACAAGTGTCGTATCAATCTATTTTTGGTCACCGGTTACTATGCGACTGCATTTCCTCCTAATGTCGCTCCATTACCTTGTGGATCAGATTTATAGGTCAAAGACTCGGGGAGTGACCCTCAAACAAATCGAATGATAAAGTGTGGCGCATGTATAAATAAACAATAATATCAATATGAACTGATTTTAATCGACCTCATATTTGTTAGTTATAGTTGGATATAAAGCAAGACTTTTTGCATCACCATCACCACCAACAACAACGACAACAAGAAAAAAACAACTCTATATTAAAAGTATAATCTGTAGAAAATGAGAGGGGGATAAAAACATCGGTGATACGATTCCCTTTCTATAATGATTGTAATAATCCATGTAAATAATGATTCTTTAAAATGTTAATTAAAAAAACACACACTGGACAATCCATTTAAATTTTTTCTGATATTAATTTTAATGTTGACAATATATTCGGTGTATCTGGGAAGAGAATAGCAGCACGTCGTAAATTTAACAATAAATTCATATATAAATCATCATGGTGTATAGATAATTGATAATCTTTATTCACAGTTAACCACCATAAACTAAAATTGACTAAAGCTGTAGCAAATATCTAAAGTTGGATAAAACAAACAAACAAACGAAAAAAGAAAAGAAAAGTGAGAAGAAAAAAGTACACACACAACTATAAACATTATCAGTCAGTCAGGTACAACGTAGGACCAGGCACATATATGCATCGGTCCAGGTTGCCATACCGCATTAGCACAGCAAGATGAACACCTACGCCATTGTGATCGATTCTGAGCCATGTCACCAAGAGTCTCCAACCATCGGTTACGAAAGTCACGCGGACCCCAACCAAGTAGTCTGCATCTACCAACATGGCTCAGACTAGAGGTTAGTGTCTTCAAGTACTGATGCCACGTTTTGGTTTGGCCGCCCCTAATTCTCTTCCAACAATCTCTAACACCCGTTAGCATTGCACGACGTAGTAATCTGTGTTCAGGCATACGTAACACGTGGCCCAACCATTTCAGTCGATGAAGATTCACAATCGCATCAACTGATTTACTATCATTACCTAATACCCTGCGTCTAACCTCACTATTACTTACATAAACATTATCACTATGATTACTATGCTTACAACAACAGGTAATAATAACATGCATTAGGAGCATTCAGATATATGATGTACTTGTGCATACATATTAGTTCAAGGTCAAATATAGTAGGCCAAATATGTGTTAAATGAAGCACGCTGTTCGTTGATGCCGTTTATGTACTATGATAAGGCTTGGCTCAAACACATGAGGGATATATATATATATATATATATATATATATATGGTCACAGAGAGACTATCAACATTGGTGTACATGTATATCCAGCTGAAGAGTCCAAAATAGGATGAAATATATGTCGTGGATTTAACAACCAACCATTATCCAACTCTACTTATCAAATTTAAGTGTCCTAGCTAAATACATGGATATGATTTCTTATATATTTTGTATTGATTGTCGTTTTTCCTTTCCTATTTTAATTGGAGCACAAGGGATAGAATTTCTGAAAACGTTAATAAACTTCATCAATATCAGGTCACTACTACTACTACTACTGTAATGAACGAAGACTCACGAGGGGACAACCAATTTACTACATAAAAAATGAAAACCATATATATTCAATACTTCATTTGCAAATCTATTAATGATCCTTCACATTCTGTATGATTCGTCCAATTCATAATTCCTTTTTACTTCCCTTCATGTTTTTTTTTCAACTAGATCCTTCTTAGCCTTTTGCTGACATGTATTGCATTTCGGATAAGTGTTACACACTACTTATGTCAATCAACATAAGTAGCATACACCACACTACTTACAAATACTGATCTAGTTCATTAATAATGATTAGTTTAACCATAGCAGATCAAAATAATATCAACAACAACAATAGTAATATTCTCTCGGTAACTTACTGAATTCATAGGACATTCATTACGTAACTGATTAATACATAATAAACATTTAATAATTAAATTTGTATAGATTGTTAATGTGGTCTTCATTGAAGTATTTATACTTAGTGTATTTTGTTTTAATTCAATTGTAGATAAATTTGTAATTTGACTAATCGGATTTTTATTTAATAACCAAGCAAATAAAAATATCCATCGAATTGATTCATTTGGACGTTGAATTAAATAACGTGATATATATGCTAGACCAGAAGATTTTCTCGACTAATGAATATTATCGATGATTATTTCAAGTAAAGGAAAGAAAAAAATTAATTTCATAAGTATATATTTATTAGATCAATGGATTTATGAGAACTAATTAGTATTAATTCACTTGATATTGTTTTACTTGAACCTTCCCACTGATGTTTTAGGACTGAAATTGATCAGTCTGTTATTGGTATATGTGCATACTGCGCGTATGCCTCGATATTGCCTTAATTCACAAGCATTATAAGCAAAGATGGATAGTGGCTAGCAGTGGAATCCAGGACGCGCGTTTCGTCCTGTTTGGGACTCGTCAGCTGGATGTACCTGCATCTCCGAGTTGATGTTCGCTTTGGGACTCGAAGCGAACGGTACTACTGAGTTCGAGTCCCAGAGTGAACATCAACTCGGAGATGCAGGTACATCCAGCTGACGAGTCCCAAACAGGACAAAACGCGCGTCCTGGATTCCACTGCTAGCCACTATCCATCTTTGCTTATAATTAGTATTAATATTGGAAACGAATATTTGATACCAAATGCAGGGGAGGGGATGGATGTAAGTGTAAGTAATTGCACATTACTTGGTTTGAGTTTATGAAATTATTGCAACTAACCATTGAAGACACTGAATAACATAGCTTAGAGGTGTTCACTCTTTGTCTACCCTAGAAATATAGAGTTTTAAATTTGTCTAATACTTTCATTCCGAGAATCCGTTCTTTCTTCTCGAATCGTAATATCTGTGCTTTATCTATTCTACTACCACTGACACTGTTTACCACTACTACTGTTACTACTCTGAGATTTGTCTTGAGAATTTCATCTTGTTGTGTTGATATATTGTACAGTTCGACAGCCATTGAAGATTATAAAGCAACGGATAACTATATCATCGCAGTATGGAACTCCTCAGTAGTGTGCATACACAACAGATTGAACCCAGGACCTTCAAACTTTTCATTATACGTTTAACTTTCAGATCACTGAAATAGAGTCTTATGACTTGTATTTCTACCATGAAACCATTTTCCAATCCCATTGATGAAGAACAAATGTTTTCTTCTAAGAAAGAAAAAAAAGTTGAATTCCATTTTTGATTTATTGTCTACCAATTTGAGATGGAAAAGAGGCAAACCAAAGAATATATTGTGTCCGAAATTAGAAACAGACATCAAAAGGATGAAAGGAATGTCCAGGACAGAGTTCAATAAAGGATGCTAGTGCGCGACCTATACTCCTCTGCGAAGGGTAACAGGCGTAAGTAAGTAGTTTGTCTCTATTACATGATAATCTCAGATGGGTTTTGTGGATATTATAGTAATTTCAATGATTAAGATCATGAGTCAGTTGAAGCTAGACCACCACGGAAAACCTGGAAGCACTGGACGGCCGTTTTGTTTTATTGTGGGACTCCTTAGCAGTACCCACCCACGACCTCGCTCAATTTCGTGGATTAGTTGAAGTTAGACATTAACACTGTTGGATGCCGGCCAGCTAAGTGGTTAAGTGATCGCGCGCAAAACCAGTAGGTCCTGGGTCCGAATCTCGCGGGGTGCGAGATCGTCGATGCGCACTGCTGAGGAGTCCCACAATAGGACGAGACGGCCGTCCAGTGCTTCCAGGTTTTCCATGATGGTCTAGTTTCAACTGACGCATGATCTTAATTATTGAAATTACATGATAATCAACAACAAATAAATAAAGAAAGAAAGAAGATAACTAGAATGAATTTAACTTACAGAACATAATGATAAATATGTATTATTCATAATCCAATTATTTAATTCATTTTCAGTTAATTGTCCACCTAATGGTAAATAATTATCACTAATACGATTAGTAAATAAATCTGGTAAATTTGATAAATTTTCATATTCCATTTGTTTTTTTGATGAAATTTCATAAATTAATTTACATAATGGTGAATTCATTAACCAATCAACATCTTGTCCTAAACGTACACCAATTTGACTTAAATTATAAGCTAATGGTAATGAAATATTATAATATTGATCAGTTGCTGAACAAGAAGACGATAATAATGATGATGATATGGATAATTGGGTCTGTTTCATAATCCCGGTTAAATAAGTGTGTAATTTTTGAATTTCTTGTATTGGACCAAAATATGGACAATTGATTAATTTTATAACTAATAATAATAAGAAACCAGCATTTGGTTGAAATTGTAATGCAGATTTAGTAACTAATGATCCTTGATTAACAAGACGTTGAATTTCTTCAGTTAAACCTTTAAAAATAAGTAATTAATCAAAAAGAAATAGATAAATATGGACATGTAATCAATCAACAAAGTACAAAACAATGTGATGAGATTAATAGATGGAAAGTAATCATACTAATACTAAGAATAAAATATTTTAACAGTTGAATTCACGAATTGATCTAAGATAGACTACCACTGAAAACCTAGAAGTACTGAACGGCCGTTTTGTCCTAGTACGGAACTTGAATTCAAGACCCTCGGTCTCGCACGCGAACGCTTAATCTAGCACAGATCGACTCTTGAATTCAACCGTTAAAATACTACAATCTCAACAAATTCCTGTACTGATAATAATAAGATACAAGAGTTAAATCCACAGATGACCATAGAAGAGGAACAAAGTTATTAATCAGTTGTAAATATATAAATCCTACAGGTTATTAGCCGCTCGAATGGCTTAGTGATAACATCTCAGAATGAGAAGTAGGGTGACGAGTCGACCAAGAAGTATCAGTTCTCTTGAGATTACAAGTACAATTTGTTGACGAGTGTCAACTGGCAAAAAACTTAATTCTACGTTTTCTTGTCAACTGTCACTAAACAGCAAAAATGTAGTGTACACAATGTCATGTCACTTAGACTAGTAACCACACATATCAAATTGTTCGACTAAGACGAATATGCTATTAGTCACTACTTAATGATAAATTGATTGTGGAAAAGAAACCACTAAAATAACACGAATCGACTCTAACTCAAACGAAAATCAGTGGTAAAAATGCAATTTTTTTTCTTTAACAAAAAGCCAACACACTAATCACACATAAACAATATCAGAATAGTAGATACAATAAGTTATCGTTCAAAACGAACTACTAAATGTTAGTAAGGTATGGAATAATAGGATGCTCATGATATGGAATAGGTTTGAAAGTAAAGGTTAAGACTGATTTTGACTCATGTCATATAAGATTCCTAACCACAGATTACGATATGAGACTCTGGAGTCTGACTTATGACATATGTATTTGTTGTTTAGCTGTCTCTAGCCTATTGTTGTGTTTACCAGCAAAATGCATCGAGATAGACAGTGACTTAAAACGCGTTTTATGTATCACAGCATTTTACAGAAGTTCATAAATTCATTAACCCATTGACAATCTCCACCTAGAATTGAACCTCTAACTTTGACATTGTTTGTCCAATGCTTCCAATATACCTTAAAGACACTTTTGGTCAATTACATGTCTTCGACTAGCAAACATCATATCTCACTGGCTTTACTCGTCTTTCGATATGTGGATGAACATTTGGTCTGCATTATTAGTAGTAAATGTTGTTAACCCCACCACCAACACGTTTAAAAAATATAATTAATAACATTTATTAATTATTAATCCGCTAGGGTTAGTGAAAAGCTAAAGATCACTAAAGGGATTTGTGAAATATGAACTAGTTTACTCACAAAGGCCAAACTAGGAATTGGCATAGATCAGTTTCGAAATATAATTTTGGATTTAGACGGAGATAAAAAGAAAAGCATTTTTGTATAGTTACTTGAAATGTTCAGAAGATCCTAAATTTTGTTAGTCTTTACCAAGGAAGATTATGTCATTTGCACACTTAAACTCAATAAGTGAATTTCCAGGTAGGATTGTAATCCTTTGAAACGTAAGATAAAAGGAGTATTACCGCAGTTTAAAAGTACATCAAAGATTTAAAATTGAAATAAAAACAGAGAAGGTGGACAACACTGAATGTAACTAATTCAAATAATAGTGTGTCATAAGTAAGTGTTTGAGTAAAAGATATTCAGTAGATTGATGTAGTTTTACAACAACACATCTTTCAATCTCAGTTATTGTCAAAAGAATCCTCGATCAACAAAGTCAATCGCTACACCTTCACAGTAAGAGTTATGGTTAAAATAGGAAAACGACAAACTATGTCTGTCCAAAAACCAGTCAAATGGTATAGATAAACTGAGCTAGAGGTTTCTTAGACTTATTAATTCCAAGCCACATTAAGTGTCGGATATATGAAGGAAGCTAATATCTTCAAAATTACATTAATCCACCTGATTCCTCTGTGTTCTATACCACACTTCACTAGTAAAAGAACAAACTACAAGCAACAGAGGTTTGGGATAGTTGTATATCATTGTAATCATGAACCGATCTAAGTTACGAAATCACTAAAAACCTGGAAATATTGAATGGCCATTTTTTCCTATTACAGAAATATTGAGCAACGCGTATACCCAACAACAAACGTGGGAAACGAACCCAGGACACTCAGTCTCGTGAGTGCTTAATCCCTGGACCAATGAACCGGCATACAACGGTGTTAATGTCTAACTTCAACCAATCCACGATATTATGAGACCATCTTCCGTCATCTCTTATGAGTAACTGCCTCACACCGTTGGATTTCAGATTAATGATCTAGAGGTTAAACATTCGCATGCGAGACCGAAAATGTTTGGTTCGATTGTCGACTGCGGGGTCATGGATGTGCACTGTTGAAGAGTCCTATACTATGACGAAATGGTTATCCAATGCTCCCAGGTTAGACCTAGATCCGTTCATGATTTTGATGAAGTCTAACAATCTACACAACCCCATACTGACACTGCGTATCAATGTAAGTTTAAAAAATGAATTCAAGTTTGAGAAACAACAAGAAAAATCATTTTAGAATATTGAAAACACACAAACAAATAATAAACAAATGTCTCACATATTAGTGATAAATTTTCTTGTGGTGGATTATCTGGATGCATTGTAAATATGATGCCTTTAGCGCATGCCTCAGCTAAACTATGACAAAATGTAGAATTTGGATTTTTAGTTAAATTAAGAAGTTGATCAGCAATTTTCCAATCAGGTGATCCACTAAAATTAAACAAAAAGTATGTTTAATTCTACAAAATAGACAGATTATGACTAAACAATAGAATCTAGAATGTGCGTTTTATCCTAACATAAAGTCAATCAACCGAATGTACCTACATTCCAGTGTACTGATGTTTAATATTGAAACTTGAGAACCGTGTACTTTTCGCTTGAAACGACCCGCAACGTGTTATTCCTTAAAATATTGAAGTCTAAATAATCTCTAATGTGTTTACTATATGTAATATTTCTATCATATTTGATAAAAGTTTAAATTACCTCAGTGTTGATATTCAACATTGAATTTTGATCAATATTTATTGGTAATATGTGCACAACATTACAAACAATAATCAAAACTATATGGAGGATCCAACTAGGGGATTTGGAAAACACTGATTTCAAACCAGTGGTGTACATGGGCTCCGGGATCCTGAAGGAAAAAATGGTGTATGAATCAATTATCGGTCACCAGCTACCATGGGATTGCATCTCCTTAAGTTACTCAACTGTCTTGTGGATCAGACTTTTTGGTCGAAGGTTTCGGGTATGGCCCCCTTAGAAAACCACCTGCTTTGGTCTGGACACTCGGGTAGTGACACAGCCCACTCATAAATCAGGTGAATGTATTCGGTACCCCTTTTAACCGATATTTATGTGTTCAAATAAAATAAAAACATAGAAACGTACTTGTTGTTTTATCGACAAAAAAATGAAAGTTAGTGTAAATAAATTTCAGCTACTTAAAAGAAATAAGTAGTAAAAACATCATAAAAATGTGGTAATCTTTCAAAAAAAATTACATATGAAAAATTACGAGACAAACTTTTTAAAAAGACACTCATTAGATTAGAATATGAAAACTCCCTCAAGAAAATGAAAATAAAACCCCCCAAAACTATATATATATATCAATACTCAAACATTTTTTTGTATTGGTAAAATAGAAGTGTTATTACACGCAGTACTCAGGGAAACTACTACAATGTGAGATAAATAAATAAATATATAAACTGACTGGTTCACTCAGAATATGTGGTGGAGACTGATGTTTTATTTCCAATTCGATTATACTTAAATGTTAAAACGTCACTATTTGCTTTCATAATGCTCAACTTTTGGATTTCTAAAAGAAGTAAACTTTGAATGTTGAAAAGAAACAAGAGCGAGATTTTATAAATTTATGAACGGACCAATAAGATTAAAGATAGCAAGTGTCTTGGATTTTGGTGTGAAATTAATTTATCCATATAGTTCAATAGCATTTTGGCATTATAGTGAATGTCAGTTCGTAATAAAGATCCTTAATTTAATCACTAATCTTAATCCTAATTCCTCATACTAATTTATAACCATCTTTTGATCTTTGTAAGCAGGTGAACTTTCTCAAGATCAACTTGAACATCGCTTAAAGGTTGTTCATAAACTATAATCTCATTGAAACAAGTATCTATCTTCTATTTCCTCAATTATTTTCATAATTCAATTTACATTTGATTACATTGAATATTTCGGTTATGTTCTTATGGCATGTCAATATATCACATAAATAAATTGCCAATCAGAACACCGACATATACGGCTTTAAACCTTTGATAAACCAATAACGCATTAACCAACACGAACAATCTAAAGTCAACTCTCAGTCCTTATTAGTTCCTCTTACTTTGCTCTGCCCGTTGTGTCCAGAACACAATCTCAGCTTCCACTGTATGAACCAAGTATTTCAGACATACTCAGTTTATGTACAAATAGACCAGACCACAACATACCATGAAATGCAAAATAATGTTTGTACAAAATCGAGTCAAAAGTGGTTGTGAGTATAAAATACCATAACTAATAAATCGGGAATAACTTAAGAATATTAAATCGTATAATAATAGTCAATAGGTCAAATGAAAGCTTAAGATAAAAGGAATACGAATATATATATACAATCTAGTTACTTAATAACTATCCGATAAAAATGGTTGAATAATAATCTATAGATAATCCCTAGCAGTTACCATTCATTTATTCTTCGTTAGCATAGAACAACTTTTTTATTTATTTTGACCTGTATTATCATTCTCGAACTTTATATCTTGAAAGATAGTAAGTAATATGAAACATTTTATTTATGCTGTATTCTAAACAAGTATTTCACATTACACCAGTTTTCTTAATAGATCAATCGGTTTTCAGTTTGTAGGAATGCTAAGACCTTATTTTCAATCATAATCAACATAGAGTCTGAGTACAAATGTACAATAGACCAAATTATCAATACACATCAGATGAATAAAAAGGGAATGTAAATAATTGTAATAGAAATGAGATACTGAAAAGGACTAGACAGTGAAAATCAAGTTCGAGAAAAAGCAATGTAAAGGTATGTATGAAGAAATACTATCACTTAGCGTACATAGAGTAAGACGGAGAGTGAGTGCATCTTTATCGTTATGATCACTTTCGAACTATGCCGTCCGTCTAACATCTCCGACTAATGATCATGATTATCACTCAAATCAGATAATTTACAACTAACAACATGACTCAGACTAATAGTCAACGACTATACGGACTAATGTTGTGTCTCTTCAATTCGACCACCTCTAGCTTTCTTACGACTGACTTTTACATTACACGTCAATGAATGTGGTAGTTAACGATGGATATTAGCTGTGACTGAATAATCACTTTGTTTAGATTGAAATTTCGTTATGTATACATAAGAAAGACACAAACATAGAGCAAAATACTTAGTAAATTTCGAATCAACTGATGAAAATAACAGCAACAAATATTGCACTCACCAAATATATGTAATAAGAAAATAATGAGATAATACAAGACTGAAAAATGCCAATTCATTTGGATTATCACGATATGATAACTGATTTTGTTTATTCAATAACATAACAGCTCTAAAACACAGAAGATAAAACATAAAAAAATTTAAAAAATACATATGAAACATGGTTATCTCTAGTTTTGTCATAGAATGTGTTCAATTAAATGAAAAGAATGAAGTTGATTGGTAACAAGGTGATTTTGAAAGCATGTGTGACCGGTTATCACTTCCTAGTTGTCTATATTACTCAAGGATACTACTTCTTGAGGAGTCTAAAAAGAAAACTAGATTATTAGTGGTCTTAGCGACCTAGAGGCACTAATATGAAGCCCAAGAAACACCTGATTGACGCCTGTTGCTTGGTGATCTAAAAGTTAAGCATCCGCTTGCGATACCAAAGGTACTGGGTCCGAATGCTTGTGATTGAGTCGTGAATACGTACTACTGAGGAGGAGTCTCATACTAGAACGAAATGGCTATCCAATGCTACCAGGTTTTGATTGGTAGTCCAGCGAATATCAGTTCGTAATTTAAACTATACAGATCTTAGAACCTCCGCAAATTGTGATACGTTAAGATGTAATGTACTTTTTTATCTAAATAGTTCGTTATGTGTTTAAAGTTAATTTTAAAAAGAGTACTTCTGACCCCACATTCATCTAGCTCTGAGTTTTAGGAACATTGTAAAATTGATTGACCTATTCCCTAATCGCATAATAAAGACACTGATTGAGTAAGTGAATTATTTACTATAATGGGTGTGAATAGGTCTAGAGGAAAGAGTATAACTATTGAAAATATTTATAGCTCAAAAGAAGGTTTTTGCATGTGTTGTATTCTCCTCTGAAATAGATGGTTTGGTCGTAAACTTTTATATTTCTCCCTAAAGCAACATTATCAGCATATACAATTTCACAAAAGAAGTGAACGAATAAAATTTCTTCACAATCGACTAATTGACTTGTTAATACGTTCATTTGATTAATTATTGTTCATAGTTGTGTGCGTGACCATTATCTACGTGTTTAGTTGGTGTTATTATTGTGGTTTACAGTTTCACGGGATTCAAACTCTTATCATTCTTTAGTACAGTATTCGATAATAATGATGATGGAAACGCAGCTGATCAACTGTAAGAGAATCAAATCTATGTATAGTAAACAAAATAATTCATTACTTATTTATGTCACAACATCCTTATTCAATAACAGTATAACATCGACTTCATGCTAGTGTTTGTGTGTGATTTTATTGAATAAACTTACTCTTCACTACGGATTCATTACAAATAGAATAGATCTTAGTGAGAATTTATACATAAGAATTATTATAATGCAAGAAATGCATCTATCTTACTTTTGAAGACAATGTTTCGCGGGCACAGAATATCCCACTAATTGGAGTAATATACCCCGATTATGCCATAATCGTATATTATTAGGCTGGAAAGCTAAACAATAGAGTGATAATGAGAGAAATATAATTATTCTATTTAAATCCATAGTTTTAACTTTACATTTAAAAGCCCACTTCATGCCAATAACAAAAGTGGGTTATAATGAGAATCTGTGATTGGTGGGGTTTAATCGTGTGAAAAGTAGTTGGTCATCCATATCATAGTGCTCCAATATCACAACTCAATTGAATTTAAAGATACGAACAATTGTATGATGGTTTAGTGGTGGTGCTTAAAGGTTAAGTGTTCGTTCACCATGAGATTTGAAGGTCCCAGGTTCGACCTTTAGTGTAGAGGTCGTGAATGTACACTACTATTGAAGAAACCTATACTAGAACGATACATTTATTCAGTGCCTCCTTGTTTTCAACAACTGTTTAACCAAAGTCAGTACGTGATATGAAAATACAAAATTCAACAATTTTCACAAGCTCTCTATGAAATTCGAAAATTGTTTTAATCTTACAAACCTTACCCTACACTAAAAGCAAATAATACATAGTGTGATAATCACAGATACAAATAATGAATTTATTAATTCCACTATAATCGTAAATCACAAAACGAAATAAAATCAGTGGTAAACTTGAAAAGTGATGTATTCTTAACCCCTTACGTAATATGTGATAATCAGACGTCAGGCTTTATTACTCAAGAGCTTATAATATTTATTAGTCAATTATTGACTAACATATACATTCATTTTGCTTCACATCTTACAGATATAATTCGTAGGACAGTTGATGCAGATTAATTCAATTTAAAGCTAATTAGATAAGTGGTAGTGTCTCAGACTGTGAAACTGCGTAACACGGGTTCAAATCCCGTAGGGAACATCAGTACCCACCAGGATAATAAATACTACTCTCTGACAAATACCAACTACCATGAAGCTCAGGTCCAAGGTTTCCTGCTGAGTACCACCTCCAATAGCCTTAACATCAAAAAATAGTGAATACTATGTCAAGTCACTTGGACTAGTGAACGCATTACAACTTCATCGATAGAATCCGACTACCACTAAGAAAGACATGACGTCGGTCACGACTACTCAGTGACAGACCAATTTTTATTCATACATATTAATGTCAGTAAACATGCATTTTAATTCTTTCTTTCTCTGAACCATACTACATGTTAGGTATGATGTTGAGGGTGTTGGATTTTTGGCTTTATTTTATGTTATATATTATAGTAAATACAAGCCATACGCTTTGTACTCACAACATTAGTTTTGACTATGCCCTATCTCAAAACAATACCAAAATACATCAGAATTAATGTATGTAAAGTAAAACGCAAATGCGCAAAAATATTATACATATGTATGATGAGATTAAAAAAGGGTATATGAAAACAAAATGGTAAAACTGGCCTTAAACCTAGCAACAAAAATAAGTGTCCTGTAATCAGTGTGTTATAAGGATATCTTTTAATACTCCTTATTTTCGACTTTGTAATTGTAGATTTAAGTAAAACTTTTATTCTCTGCAAATATATAGTAGTTGTTACGGTGGATCGATCAGATATATTAGTCCAGAGTCGAACTCAGTCAGTCAGTCAGTCAGTCAGTAACAACGTAGAACTTCGTACGTACGTACATCAGTTCGAGTTGCCACACCACATTAGCACAGAGATGCACTTGTCGATTCAAATCCCGTAGTGATAGAGGTAATAAGAGTACAAGCAGTAATCGGGAAGATTAGGGTTTGGAGATGTTATTTAAAGAGTATAATCCAGTGAAATAAATTTGGAAAGAGGAAAAAAGGGACATGAAGAATTCAGAAGATTAGAGTTTGGGAGAACACAGAGAGTTGATGCACCTGCGCCATTGCAAACGATTTTGAGCCATGTCATTCAGGGTCTCTAACCATCGGTTGCTGTCATCTCGCGGTCCCCAACCAGGTAGTCTACACCTACCAACATGACTCAGTTCACTTGTCAGTGACTTCATGGACTTGTGCCATGTTTTGGTTTGGCCGCCCCTAGCTTTCTTCCAACCTACTCCTATACCACTGAACATAGCACGTCGAGGCAGTCGGTCGTTGGGCATACGTAACACGTGTCCCAGCCATCTCAACTGATGAAGTTTCACTACGTCATCAATTGATTTGCCATCCTTACCTAGTACCCGTTTCCTAACAACTGTGTTACTTACTCGATGGTCCCATGATATACGAGCAATGTTTCGAAGACACCTATGATCAAATACTAGTAACCTACGGATATCCTCTACTCTTACCGGCCATGTTTCACTGCCATAAAGTAGGACGGAACGAACTGCTGCGCAGTAAACACGTCCTTTGGTTGATAGACGGATATCTCGCCTACGCCATAAATGACGCAAGTTGGCAAAAGCTAGTCGAGCCTTCTGTATCCGTGCTGAGATTTCGTCACACACCAAACCACAAGGGCTGATGAGACTTCCAAGATAAGTGAAGCGGTCGACACACTCAACTACTTCACTCCCTATCACTAGTTCGGGTGTCGATGTAACCCAATCCTGAAGCAACATTTTGCATTTCGAGGGAGAGAATCGCATCCCGAACATGCTTGCATTGTTGCTTAGAGTGGTCAGAAGACTCCGCATTTTGTCAGCGTCTTCACCAAATAAGACTATGTCATCTGCATATTCTAAGTCAACAAGTGAACCTCCTGGTAGAAGTTCAACCCCTGTAAATTTAGATGAGGAGAGTGTTATCTCTAAAAGTACGTCAATGACTGATTCCTCTGTGATTGTCACAAGAGGACTTTTGTCCTTTCTTAAAAACTGGCACAACTAGGAAAACAGTTAGGCAGCCATGTATGTGATGCCCACCCCGAGGCAGCATGGAACGATATCCGAAAAGCTGTGGAAACAGCAGTGATATCTGCTAGTAAGGTAAACCGTAAAGTTAGGGAGCAACACTGGATCTCAGCAGCATCTATCGCACTGATAGATGCTCGAAAACTCATTCCACCTGGCTCTGAACATAATGAAGAGCGGAGTCAGCTTAAGCGCAAGCTGACAAGAAGTCTACGCATTGATCGCTCTCTTAGAGTGGATCCCAGTAGACAGTCGTTTGTGCGCTGTCCGACTAAACGGAACAGTGAGGATCCGAAAAGGTAGGGACACTCGTCGTTGCCTCTTCGTCGTCTCTGCCTATTCTCCCACTGACTGCAGCTCAGATGATGTAAAAGATGAGTTTTACAGAAAGCTTTCGGACCTTCTCCGAAAAGCTAAGCGCTCGGATGTAGTAATAGTGGCCGGTGACTTTAATGCTCAAGTAGGTAAACTAAGCGATAATGACAAGTGCATGGTATTGGTTAAAAATGTGATAGTCTATACTAAGGAATGAGTTTATACAAATCTTCATCTAGTCTATTCAATAAAATCTTCCCTACTCACTCGAATAACCGATTAGACTGACGTGTAGGAACTGTATATATCGGTATTAGATTCGGAAAAACCGTCCAAAACAACAGTATCAAATGTAATAATTATTATTATCTGATTATATGTCGATATCATTATAAAATAACTAGTATGATACAAGTAATAATTAAACTAACCGATAGCCCGATTCAAGCATTCTATAGCCACATTGATAGATAGGCGTAAATGTGCTCGTTTATCGAAAACTTGAATTAATTCTGACATACTTTTTGATGGACAAGATGACGCTGATGGATCACAAAGGAAATTACATCCAGCGTATTCAATAATTATAGGCATCAGATGCAATGTAAGCTGTGAAGCTACTTGATACTAAAATAAGAGGAAGTGAAAGTAAATGATGAGTAAAAACAAGAAAAACCTCTATAGTATTAAAAATGGAGTTTGATAATTAGTGTTATTGAAAAAAATTATGTCGAGGTTGTTTTTGATATGAAGTAAACAGACAAATTGAGAATGAAGTGGAGATTCGGAAAACTGTTTTTATCGTAGTTTAATACTACTCAATATCGCCCACGCACGACCCAGTCAAAGATAAAACCGAGGGTTCTGAAGGAAAGTGACGAGAATTTAACGACTATACGATCTGGTTGACGACCAATAGTATATACCTCCAAATTCAATCCCACGATGTTGATGAAGATTGATTCGATTCCGCGACAAGGTTGAACTTCATGGGTCATAACTTACCACTAGAGCTATAAGAAATAATGTTGAACAAAATTACTAACTTGAGGAGACTATTATTCTATCATGTCCAATTCCGTGGCTTGATGGTTAAGTGATTGCTGTGAGACCTGAGATTAATGAGTTCGAACAACAATATGGTTAGGTGTGAGCAACACTGTTGACGTATTCCCATACTAGAAAGAAACAGTCGTCCAACGCTTTTTAACTTACCTCATTATGGTTATTAAGTGATGAATAGAATGTACAAATTAGATGAATCCCTATAAAAACTTCATCGTTTCACTTTATTTAGAAATTACGAATCCCATGTTTACTCTTTCAAGTAAAGAAAATCCTTAAAATTATCTTGATAATTTTTGTGTTACTATAAGATAAAATCAACTTTAGTGATAAATATAAACTAGTAATTAATAGCTTTGAGAATTTTGCGTAGTTTTATAGAGTAGTTATGATCGACGAAAGGATTACTCTTGTTAAAGAAAATGATATAGATAGTGAATATTGACGGCAATGAGTGATTGTAGTTGCATTAATATGCCGAAACGATTGTAGTTGGAAATGTGGAGATAACAGGGGTGAGGAGATTCCTACTCAATGGTATGAAGGTATTGTGTTTATTATCACCACACGACTTTCGGATCTAACGGTTTGACTCTGTATGAGGTCATGTATGTGAATAGATTGTAGGAAAGGAAATCCCTAGACGTGAGAGAGATATCACATCTAGCCAACACTGGTTGTTTCTCTATGTAGTGTCACCCTGTATACATATAGCAAGAAGCATCGTCCTGCTGAACTTATCTTTATAATAGTAATCTATTCAAATAAGCTATGAAATATCGGAGTGTAATCTCAAAGTATCTTTCAAAATTATGTATTATTTACAGATAAAAAGCAGTTGTTCAGTACAAAAAGAATAAAAGACATATCCAACGAATCTAACATTATTTAAGGCAACTATGAAAATAATCTCAGCAATGTATGAAGGTCTTGATATTATTCCAGATTCATTGACCAGAGACCATCAGTAAAGTAACTGAAAGTGACAGAGAACAAATCAGCTAATCAATAGAGGAGAAAATCAGGAAATGACACTGGAGGTGGATAGGATACATTTTACGAAAACAATTAAAATGAGCTACAAAACAAGTCCTAATCTGATATAATCAAGGCAAAAGGAAAGAAGGCAGACAAAGAACATATGTAAATTTTCGTAATTTCTCGTAGCTAATATTTAGGCCATAAATTAATTGGTCAGTCTCTTCTGGTATACATGCATCTTGACCAGATGCGTTAAATATATTTAAAAGAAAATAACGAATAACTTCATACTCCGTTGGACAAAGCAGTGATTGACTTAATCAACTGAATAGCTTAATGGGTAACACACAATGGCATTTGAAGAGATAAATATTGGGTTCCAGTTTCCAAGTGAACACATCAACTGAAGAGTCTTCAAAAATGACGAAACATAAGTACTAAATTCAACTATAAGTCACAATTTTGAAATATTTGCAAAAATAAAACACTAAATTAAACACACATTTGAACCTGTATACGCAGCATGTATCAAATGACTCAATACTTCCGTATTGACTAATAAACCAGGACCAATCGACGGAGTACCAGACATGACAGCAGTCAATTGAGCTGAAACAAGCCAAACTCTAAAATTATCTGGATCAATCGCTTTAGCTTGTTCTACCAAATTAACTGCAAGCTTAAAATAAAAAAAACTACATGAACTGAATGAAAATAATAATTTTGACAAGTTGTACAATGTATGAATGCATACACACGTACCCACATATATTACTCTACGAAACAGGCTACTATTATCTGATCATAGACGGTTTCATATAGACTGGAGACCATCGAGTGAGCGATGTTGAGGTTAGATGAAGAGTACAATTTAAAGATGGCAAAACAGCTGATAAAACCGATAATCTTCATCATGGTTACAACACGTACCATGTATGCCTAACAATCACCTTCCTCCTGAACGAATGATATCGATTGCGAAGGAAGAGAACGGAAGTAAGATACGCGATAGTGGCCAAACTAAGAAATGAAAGTAGTTTACAAAGTCATTGACTATTACACCGATACATGTTGGTGATTATCGTAAACTATAGTGATGTTGGTTGATATGTCTCAAAATTGCTTACAATGACGTAAATGAACATTTACTTTTTTTTCCTTAGGTCGCAAATTGAAAAACTATTTTAGGCCTTTTTTTTCTAGTACATTGCATTTGGTTGTATATGGTTGTTATTTTCTACTATTCTAGTATTTGTCTCTAGAACTTCATTTCTCTATGCTGATATAGTGAAGTAACTTGAATTGATGGATATTTTTGTGCTAGCTCTATATAGATTATGAATAATTAATTACTCGTGGAAAATAAGATTAAATGTGTACATATTAATACTAGGAAGAGAGTAATAATGATAATACTATTAATTATCAAAATGAGTCAAATTCATTTACAAACCGTTTTACATTCTTTTAATTAATTGATTCTTAATGCGTGTAACCAATGAAAGCATGTTGTGATTGGCCCAGTGAACTAACACGAACAAGATCACTTTGTAATTGTAGTGGATGCAACTCATAAGGATATTTATAAGTAATGTAGGGGAACGTGGTGTCGTAATTGAAAAAAACATTATCGGACGGAGTGAAGTTTTGCTGCATCGAAAGTACGGAGTTGACAGAACACTAAGAGACCAAACGAGAAGACATTTCAGATGGTAGAACACATGGAGATGCAAATGGACGATTGAAGGCTATGCATATGTATTATGTAAATACTCTGTAACATCTCGCGATAATGGGTAGACAAATTATTCGTATATATACATTTGTGTTCCTGACACAAATGAGATGTAAGGTGAAATATTGAGTAGGGGCATGATCAGCTTCATCTGATAGCATCACACCTAGTGCTTGATCTTCAGGCAGTAATATAATCACAGAGACGCGGTATACCTAGAGACTCTCTTAACCTATCAGATGGTCGACGAATCCAGTTTCCGACCAGTTATTGGCCGTAGGATCGAATCCTTCCCCACTTAATTCAGTTTGAATAGCTAAAAAGTATTATTATTCATCATATACAAATAAAAAGTACACGTCGAAACCAAGTACCACAAAGCTGTACTCAATAAATATACGATATTATATTAGCCGAATCAATGACTTATTCATCAGGGGTGGTACAGATTCGAGTACTTGAATTTCAGTTGCACTTTAGGTGTGAGGGTCTGATAATACTAATCCGGTTTCCCAGACCGAAATAGCAGAAGCAGAGGGTTTAAACAAAACGAGTCAGTGGCTAAAAGTTGAACCTCTGAATAAATGTTTACATAGTAGACAAAATATATTTGACATTCAACACAAACCGGAAGAAAACGGACAGAAGGAATTTCAAAAATCACAATTCCATATTTGGGAAAAGTGAATGTGAGTATAAAATAGATTCAAATTTACAGAAAAAGAAAATTACTTCAGTTTGACCCTGTTTCATTTGTTGCATTGCCAAATTAACCATGACGGTGGTATTCTATAAGGAGATAAAAGTATAAATACATACATAAATCATAATATTACTGAACGAAGAATTTGTTGATCAGTAATTTATTCTCAATATTGTTGTACGAATTAAAATAGATATATAAATTGTTTGTGCTAGAGCTGTTTATTTTTTATTCAGACCTTATTCTTATCAATCGTATAAGTCAAAATGAACTCAATAGGAGAGAATGATTGGATGAATAATAACGTAAAGAGTTCAGAATTAGTAAGACAGAGGTTGTTACGAGCATAGAATAACATTGCGAGATAGTTATTCGCCACAGGTAATGAAAGATCGTCACCTAATACCAGGTTCATGAATGTGCACTAATGAGGAGGAGTCCCATACTAACACGAAACGGTCTTCAAGTACTTTCCGGTTCTCAATGATGTTCCAGTTAAGATCAGTTCATGAATTGAAGAAAATATAGTATTAGTAGTAGTATTATTATAACAGGACGAAGAATTATTTCTGGAATTATTAATTTGTATACCTAATACCGACTAAACGCCGATAACAATACGTTTTCTCAATTAGTCTTGAACCTCAGGTTTGACGACTTTGAACATCGTCAAAAAGATAGAACGATTGATACTTCATTAATAAACCTTTTTTCTACAAATGAAAACTCAGAGGTCGATTGAATGAAGATCTTAAAAAGAAAGAAAGAAATATATGAAATTTAACCTGAAGTGGGAATATTATAAATACTGGGATGTTGAAAACATGACAATAATTGTGCGCTAATATACTGACTGGCATGAACTTGTATCCTCAACGTTTGAGCTACACTTTACCTGTAAGGACTGGTAATAATAATTTATGATGGGAACTTTACTTTAAATCATATAATTTCTACACAACTTCCCCATCTTGATTTCCCTATAATACTCATGGTAACCATAAAAAGAGCATATTAAAAGCATACTATGGATTGAAACATACATCAGGATTATAAAGTAATGCTTGACAAAGACAATAGGTGATTTCTGAATCCAAGTTTTCTAGAATTGTAAAACAATAAAGAAGAAAATAATAGTATTAAGATACAATTGCAATCATACTCAATAATAATAAACCTTCACAAGAACGACTAACGTATTGGGTTTTCCGGTAAGTATACGGTAAGTTCTAATATAACACAATAAATAAGAACTCAAACAAACTCAATGTCTATCACATAACAATACTTGAACTTCAATATAGCGATAAAGAAGACAGGATTTTCAGAGTAGCTTTATATTCCATACAGAAGTGAAAAAAAAATCCAATGATCTCAGGGCACATAAATTATCTAACAACCTAAAATCGATAACGACCAATCAGGTACCTGTTATTCAAATGAATAGCTATCTGGATTCAGTAGCTAAGTGGATTATGCGATGGTGTTTGAAGTGAACAGTACTGGGTTTGAGTCCCGAAGTGAACATCAACTCTAAGACGCAGGTACATCCATCTAACGAGTCATGAATGGGACAAAACGCGCATCCTGTAGATCTTACTGTTAGCCAGATTCCACCTATTCAGTTTGAAATAATAGTTTGGTTATATTGATTTGACTGGCAGAATAAATTATACATGTAACAGACTAACATCTCCAATCTCATCGTAACAGGATTATTGAAGTAACAATATAATCCAATAAAAAAATTTCAACCTAAACAGAAGCAATTTTCCTTTTTGAATAGTAGTATATAGAGTTAACTTGGGGTAATTCAAACAGCTTCAGAAAGAAAATAGTACAATTATTATTCAAAGAAAATTTACCATCACTTGTTGAATAAACACCAGCTAATGCAGCCCATGCACGTGATTGAAGTTTTTTAATTAAAGCAATACGATCACGTATATCTTGTTCCTCAATTTCATCATCAGTTGTTATTGTACCTGGTTCAAGTAAACTTTTCTCTTTTATTATTTCTTCTAATAATTCATCATAGATATTCGATAAATTCTCTAATAATTGTAATGCATTTTTTAAAGTTGATTCAGATAAATAAAATAATTCATTTGGTATTATAATGAAATTGAATGGTTTATTAATATGATCCAATTGATTTGTTGTCATTAATGATTCCTGTGAAATATTATTACGTTGTATATAATAACCTTGATTAAGTTGATTAATACCTAAACTAACTAATATAGAACTTATTAATAATAACTTCAATGGATCCGTTGTATTAGTTGCCGTAGTAGTAGTAGTATTGGTACTCGATTCAGTATCCTTATTGGTAGAGAGTACATTTGGATCTAATGAATGTGATGGATACCGAACTGAACTGATAGATGTACGAAGAGCACAAGCTAAATAACTGAAATAATAATAATACAAAATAGTAAAAGAAAATTTTAAGGGTTTGAGAAGACTTAAAATTTAAGATTTATATCACCGAAAGATTTTAGTTGAACAATCATTAAAAACCAGAAAATACTTGATATTTTTCCTGTTCTATTACGCGGTTCCTTAATGGTACTTGCCCATAACCCTATCAAAAGTCAAACTCAACACTGTAAGCGCTCACAGCGAACAGTGGACCCTAAGACTATTAAGCTGGTATATAATGGTCAAACATTTCTAACTTTAATTAATTCTCAACATGGTGTAACCAATATCCAATGTCACTAGTGGGTCTAACATTCGATATGGATGAACTCCAGTGATCATGGTTTTTCACTAGAATTCCGGGATTAACTTATACAAATTAGTAAGACACGTAAACCATTGGATCCTAACTAAATGGTTTAAAGGTTAAACGTAGGTCACGGGGACTGAGTTCAACCACTAGTGGAGATGTGGATGTGCACTAGTGAAGAGTCTCGCACTAGGGGGAAAAACTGTACAGTATTTCCTGGTTTTCAGTAATTTTCTAAAACCAGCCAGTGATTTGCCTTATAGAGATAATTAGTAGTGGAGAAAAATATCAAAAATGTTAATTTGGCGATAAAATTGATTTCTTTAGCTGAGCATTTCAGCCTGATAGTGATCAAGTTGAATAATATTAGGAGAGAAGTGAATTATCTACAAGAAAAACCCTCAATATTGGTTATCAATTTAGGTGGAGACACTAATATTAAAACAGTGTATTTGAGAAGCTCTTGGTTTGACGAAAAAATACCAGAACACTAGGTGTAATTTAGTTGGGAAAGTCAGAAAACCTCACATTGAAACATGCAATTTGCCACACACTATTAACAGTTTTAGGAAAGTCACTGTCACAAAAGATGTATATTAGGCATTATAAATAGTGTAAACTCAGCAATCAAATGCATGCTTATGTATTCGGTTTTAAGTCAAACATTTTGTGTGTGTGGGAAAGAGAGTTATTAATAATCACCTATGGTAATCTGAACGGAAGTAAATGAAGAGTGAATTGTACCGATAACCTAATATTTAAAGGTCAAGCGCTTGAAACACCACCACCTACGCTTTATATAGATAGTTGAAGCCCATGCAGATATCTATTCAAGTAATTAGAAAAATATATTTACTACCGGACATCTAAACTCTAGTGAATAGTAATTTGACTTAGCAATTATAATAGTTAATAAGTTCCCAACTCAACTATTGACATGCCAAGAAATAAATGAAAATTATTTACTCCTTACTACTCATACTAATAATAGTAGTAATAATAATTAGAAAGAAAACATTCAAACATACATCCCACCAAGGTGGAGGCATGTGACGATATTGACTTTAATCGTTTCCGTAGGCTCTTTCGATTCAGTTAGACACTGAGCACCATTCATTAAAGAAACTAAACGTGTCGGAACATCGATTCTATACATCAAAATAATAACAGTAAATCAAAATATGAGTGAAAGAACAATTATAAATAAAGTAAGAAACAGTAATGACATAAAATAAAGAGCTAAGTGGATTAACGAATGTTAGGTGTTTGAATTGAAATGTATTCGGCTTAAGTCCCTGTGTGAACATCAACAATGGGATAAGGCAAGTACATTCAGCTGACGAGGACTAAATAGAATGAAACTGATATCCTGTAGGTTACAATGCTGGCTATATTCTATCTATTCTCTAAAAAATTTGTGACATAATGGCTACATAGAGGTGATCGAGATCCACACAGAATGTATATATGCAAACTAAGACTGATCGAAATTTAGTCAAGAATATCAGCAACGAGATAATTCAAACCACTACAAGTTAATTTAGAAACTAAACATAGTTTGTTTAAAAGAGCAATATAGTGATATTTTCATTTATGTTCATATAGCAGCAGACAACCATGGACGTACGTTCAATTGGAAAAATGTTAAAATCATGGACAGAATCTTCACAAAAAAACCAAAGAATTTCCGGTAGTACAATGCTAAGATTAGCCGATGACTAAATAAACATAATCTATCAACTAACTACAATAATCAAATCGAAGAAGACAACATTAAAAATAAATGTGTAGACAATGAAATGACAAGTATCAACAATAATTAACCGAATTCAAGGTTGACAGAATAAACCGATCGTCATATGTCGGGAAATCCTTTCATCTCACCTTCTTTATCGGAAGTTTGTCTTGACGATATTGTCATTTAGAAAGACGAATTGAACTAATCATCTCAGAGAAAGCAATCTTAAAAAACATCATCAAAATAAATGAAACTGAACTTCTGGGCATAAGAGCTACGTTTTTATCATCGTATAAAAACCCAACACGGTTGATCTACAACAATTAGCTTACATAAATAACAAGTTTTTTCCTGGTCTTGTACTACAACATGAATGCGCAATGTGCATTTCATCCTATTTGGAAGATACTGGTCAGTTGGTTGCATCTGCACCGTAGTGTTGATAATATTCTCACACTGGTATACGGATAATATAAGTATTGTATAAAAAAACATCAACGTATTATCATTCATTAGGCTGTTTAGTCTCTATAGTCACCAACGTGTTTTTTATTATTTTAACATATAGATATTGGTACAAGGAGGCACCAAATACATATGCGCCACACAAATCTCATTTGATATGTGTGAGGGCTGGGATACTGCTCGGGTACGCAGACCGAAGTAGGTGGTTTTCTTAAGGAGAGACTCCCCGAGCCTTCGACTCGAAGGTCTGATCCACAATGCAGTGGAGCACCTTAAGGACATGCAGTCCCATGGAAGCCGGTGACTAACAATTGGTTCATACGCCATTTGTTCCTTCAGGATACTGGAGCCCATGTGCACCATTGGTTTAGAATCCGTTTAAAGCGCTGTACGTTCGCTTTTCGACCTCCCATTTTCGTAAACAACACCCCCGCCACGAGAAGGCAATGAGTAGGACTTCCCTGGCAGAGGCTATATACGCGTGACCATGTGAGAGCATTTCCAGAGGGAGAGCGGACTCTCCCCACTCTCGACCGTACCAGGGCATATATATTTTTTTCATTCTACTACTTGTAAAGATTTTAATTTGCCCTTTTTGATATTCCAGGTCAAAATAAATCTTCTATACACAATTCGTCAAGACAACTTTTAGTGATATCAAACTAATTTAATTTAAACCGATAAATATCATAAACACAATACCATCATTTTAAGGAAATATTGAAGATTGAATGTGAGATACTATTCATGAAATCAGAACATTTCTGAAATATTGCTGATTAAGATTCTGAAATACTGACGATGCATATAAAAACTAGAGTGATTAGTTTAACCGCTTAGACTGATTATAAAGAGTGAAGTAGCTCAGTGAACTGATAAATTCATTCTAATTGGAAATCACATCAACCCTGATAGGTTGGTGTTTGATGAAATTTCAGCTAATATATTTAGAAGTTCGGCTTGGCTTATGCCAACTGACAGTACTTGTAGCATGAGCAAGATATCCGTCTGATATTAAAGAGGTGAGTATATTGTGTAATAGCTTTGTTCGGTTTTCCTTTATGACTGTGGAACGTAGTTTATAAAAATAGAGGACACTCTTATGTCGCAGGTTTTTGGTTATAGGTTTCTTCGATTAACTGCTCTTCTAGCTTCGGACTATTGAATGAGATACAGGGTACTAGGAGAAGATAAGAGATCGATTGTTGATGAAACTATGAGTTTTTATCGAATGAAGTGATTTGGATATGTACTGTGTATGTCCAATCAGTCAGTCAGTCAGCTACAACGTAGGACCAGGCACATATGTGCATCGGTCCAGGTTGCCATACCTCATTAGCACAACAAGATGAACACCGGATTCATAGAAGTGGTTAGGTCAAAGGTTGCAATAAGGATATGGTATAGGAAGGAAGAATTAGTTAGTAGAAAGAAAGATATAAAGTCATTTTAATCTCTTAGTTTAAGAGAAGACAGGGAGTGTATACACCTACGCCATTGTGATCGATTCTGAGCCATGTCACCAAGAGTCTCCAACCATTGGTTACGATAGTCACGCGGACCCCAACCAAGTAGTCTGCATCTACCAACATGGCTCAGACTAGAAGTTAGTGACTTCAAGCACTGATGCCACGTTTTGGTTTGGCCGCCCCTAACTTTCTTCCAACCATCCCAAACACCGGTTAGCATTGCACGTCGTGGTAATCGGTGTTCAGGCATACGTAATACGTGGCCCAACCATCTCAGTCGATGAAGATTAACAACCTCATCAACTGATTTACCATCATTCCCTAATACCCTACATCTAACCTCACTATTACTTACCCGGTGATCCCAGCAGATGCCAGCAATATTTCTGAGGCATCTGTGGTCAAATACTTGTAGCTTACGGGTGTCTTCTACTCTTAAAGGCCATGTTTCGCTGCCGTAAAGTAAGACAGAACGGACTGCCGCGCAGTATACTCGTCCTTTTATTGATAGACGGATATCTCGCCTTCGCCATAGGTGGCGCAAGTTGGCAAAAGCCAATCGAGTTTTTCGAATCCGTGCTGAGATTTCGTCAGACACCAACCCATTAGGGCTGATCAGACTTCCAAGATAAGTGAAGTTGTCGACGCGTTCGACTACTTCACTCCCTATCCTTAGTTCAGGTGTTGACGCACACCAGTCCTGAAGCAACAACTTGCATTTAGAGGGAGAGAAGCGCATCCCAAACATTCTGGCATTGTTGCTCAGTGCTACCAGAAGACTCTGCATTTTGTCAGCGTCTTCACCAAACAGGACTATATCATCTGCGTATTCTAAGTCGATAAGTGGACCTCCTGGAAGGAGATCAATACCCGAGAATTCAGTCGACGAGAGTGTTATTTCCATCAATAGGTCTATGATGAAGTTAAACAAAAATGGAGAAAGTGGACAGCCTTGACGGACACCACTTGAAGTTGCAAAAGTAGATGACAGTTCGCCATAAGCTCTGACTCGACTAGTAGTGTTCGAGTAAAGAGCCTTCACAAGGTTTATGTACTTCTGAGGTACGCCTTTCAATGACAGACACTGCCACAGAGTCTCGCGGTCTACAGAGTCAAACGCTGCTTTTAAGTCAAGAAAGACCACCATCGTCGGACGCCGATAGGTATGCCTGTGTTCTAGAACCTGACGAATGGTGAATATGTGGTCGATGCAGCCACGACCAGGTCTGAAGCCAGCTTGGTTCTCTCGAGTTTGTAGTTCACGAGTCTTAGTTAGGCGTCTGATAATTATCGAGGCTAGTATTTTAGATACTATGTTTGTTAAACTTATCCCTCTGTGGTTGTCACAGGATGATTTTGACCCTTTCTTATATATTGGGACGATAAGTGATTGCGACCAATCAGATGGGATAAAGTCTAATTCCCAGATCTTAGCTAAAATGTTAGTCAACCTAATCGCTAAAATTGGACCACCATCCTTAAAGACCTCTGGAGCCAATCCATCTGGACCAGCTCCCCTTCCTCGTTTCAGATTAACTATAGCCTTTTGAACTTCAGCAAGAGTTGGGGGACCTACTTCAATGTTCCATTCACATTGTCTGGGAATGGAGGGTAGTTGTAGAGTAGCTGAAGGCCAGCTGAACTGTTCTCTAAAATGTTCCGCCCATCGTTCTAAACGTCTGGACTGGGAGCAGATGAGAGTATCATCTTTTTCCGAAATAATCTCACTTACACTTGACTTATTAATTCCAGTTTCTTTTATTAGTCTGTAAAGCTGTCTTGTGTTCCCTATAGTTGCCGCCTTTTCCATCTCTTTTGCTTTCGTTGCCCACCACTGCTCACGGTCGTTCCTTAGACTTTTTCTTAACCTAGATCTGATTTGTTTTCGCTCTTCATCATGTTCAGAACCTGATGGGATGAGTTTGCGAGAATCCATCAGTGTGACAGACCTTGAAGAAATCCACTGGTTCCTTGCAACTCTGTGGTTTAAGTCACTAATAGATGTCACTGCTGTTTCCACAGCTGATTGTATGCCCTTCCAAGCAACATCTGGGTCAGCCTCGTCTTCACAACTACCTAATCGTGACCTCAGTTGTTCCTGGAACCTACTTTTGGTTTCCTCGCTACTCAGTTCGGTCCTAATGGGTCTTTTTACTGTGGCTTTTTTGCGTCCAGTGAGGCGCAAGCAGATGCGTGCCCGTATTAGGGCGTGGTCGGAGTCCAAGCAGGTACTCCAGAATGAGCGACAATCTTCTACCGACCCTCTCCAACGATGACTGATGGCAATATGGTCTATTTGAGTCCATCGTTGGTTTGGTGTAGGGGGTCGCCATGTTAGACGATGTCTCTCCTTATGCTTAAAATTTGTGTTTGCTAAAAATAAACGATTGTCTGAGCATAGCTGCAGCAGGCGATCACCATTATCTGTTCGCTGTGTCGGAATACTAAAATATCCACCTAAATGCCTTTCTGTTTGGTTTAAGCTTCCTATCTGAGCATTAAAATCACCTGCTACGAGTACTATGTCTGAGTGTTTAGCTTTCTGAAGAAGTTCGGACAGCTTTCTGTAAAATTCATCTTTCATTTCATCTGAGCTGCAGTCGGTGGGAGAGTAGACAGAAACGACAAAAAGGCAACGATGTGTGTCCCTATCCTTTCGAGTTCTTACGTAGCCGTTCAGCCGAACAGCACATAGACGACTGTTGACGGGGATCCACTCTAGCAGTGCTTGTTCGGCCCTCATGCTTAGTGCTATGCCTACACCTGCCAGTCCACGAGAACTGGCCATCGGGTCACCAGATACACGAAGGGTGTATCTCGTTGGCTCTCCGTTTTGCCGAGGTGAGGTCAAGTGAATGACCACACTGGGATCCTGTATGCGTGTTTCGGAGACACAGCATACATCAATGGAAAGAGACTCTAGGGTTTTAGCCAAGGAAGCCTGCTGACCGATTTGACATAGAGTGCGTACGTTGAAAGCTCCAATGTGTAGTTTGGAGCGAGGTTTCAGTAGACCTGGGACAGAGCTTTGAGCACTAGAATCGTTGGCTATGGTGATACTTGAGGAGGAAGCCGAAGGAGGAAGTTTAGGGTTGAAAGTCGATGTAGGAGGAATAATAGGAATTGAAGAGGAAGGTTGATTATGAATACAGTGGTCTTGGGTGCTGTTAGAGGTATGAGGGCGGTTATCACTTCCCGGTTGCCCACACCGTGGAAGGGTTCTTCTGGAGGTACCTGAAAAGGAAATTGGATTAGAGGTGGTCTCAGTGACCTGAGAGCGTGACCGCAGTGCCCAAGGGACAACTGCTTGAGGCCGGTCGCGCACGGCCTTTTTGTGGAAGGTTTTCGACGTGTTAGCTCCGTTCTTCAAAGGGCCTTACCGCCGGAGACGGAAATCCGTGAGGTAAGGTGAGGTGTGCATTTTTAGGGTCGACCTTTTCTAACCCCACCCCTCCTTGTGGGAAGGCAGCATCGCTGTCATGCTGGTTGTCTGAAGGAAACACCTTACTGCTGTCACACCTCTGTACAGTCAGCAGTACGACTTCGCCTTCGGACCTTGGGTTTGTTGCTTTTAGTCTTACCGCTCTTCAACCGACCTGTCTGACATGGTAGGACCTTGAGGAACGGTTGTTCCAGCCAGTATAGCTCGGTTGCTTCATCACGATAGGCAAGCCCGACCACCACGTCAAGGTAGCAACAACGGTCCAATAATCGCTTACCTATCTAGACGTGTGATGTTATCAGCTGTAAAAGTAGGTTTGAAGAAGGCTGAGAAAGTCAATCCGAAATATGAAATCAGCCTATGAGGTCAATGTTCGTTGGACTGAGGAATGTTAGTAAATGCAAATGTTTGAGGTAACATATTTTACAATCAAGCACAATGGCCCAGATTCATTCACTCTTTTACCTGCCCTTAGATCTTGAGCTAAAAAATATTTAATACATTTCAATTCGTAAATTAATTCTTTCATCTGTAATAGTATTTTCTTTGGATAACATTAATTTCACTATCACTAAAACAACTAATACTAATCTTAATAGTTCCATCTAGTTTCGCTGATGTGGTACAACAATGCAGATGGACGGATATATGTTTAAGATTTCATGTTGTTTACGACTGATTATAATAAGGTAAAATCAATTAAGAAATATATATTATTCATCACAGTACAAGATTTTGAAATAAGGAGACTAAAATAGAATGATAAATTTATGAATATAGGAATAACAAGTGATCAACCATTCCCTAAATATCTATTTATTAAACTTCAAGAATCCGTATAGCATATATTCAGTATTACGCGGATCACTAATTTGAACGATAACACCGAAAAAAGAACACATTTACAATAACAAACGAGGAAAAAAAACAAAAAAGAAATTGACAACTTACAATAGTTCAGGATCATCAATCATAGACAATAGGCTAAGAATATCACCTGTATATCGGAAAAACCAGAATGGTACAACTTTAGAACCGACAAAATAATTCAATAACCTGAAAAGGTAACCAGTAAAAACAAATTATCATACAGTTTTTTTTGGTTTTATTATTGTGCATGGACATCTTTAAATGTCAGAAAACAATGCATATTTAGATTAATATCATGAATGGATCGATGTTAGACCACTATTAAAAACCTATAAGCACTGGATGACCGTTTCATCCTAGTATGGGACTCAGCAGTGCGCATCTACGATCCCGCACGCGAGACTCGAACCCAGGACCTTTGGTCCCGCGCACCTACGGTGTTTCGGAACATGTGTTGTGCGTAACTCTAAATTACTAGTTCTTTCTTAGTGTCATAGTAGTGAATGAGTGGAATGACTATTTGAATAATAATTTGAATAATTATCCACTGCTTTTATCAATATTTTCTCGCTTAAGAAGAGAACACAACTCTAATAAACGGACGAGAATAAATGAATGGTAACCGTTAGGAATTACATATGGACTAATATTATACGTATACTCTTATTGTATGACTATTAAGTAACTATATTATATGTATATTTATATTCCTTTCATTATAAGCTTTAATTTGATTTACTGACTATCATCATACGATTTACTATTCTTGAGATATTCTCAATTTATTGGTCACAGTTTCTCATGATCACAGCCACTTTCTTTTGGTTTGATCTCGTACAAATGTTATTTTCTATTTTATGGTTTGATGTGATCTGACTTGCTTGTATATAAACCTAGTATGCTTGAAATATATGATTCAAATCGTGGAGGTTGAAATTAGCATTCTGGACTTAACAGGCAGGGGCTAGGCAGAAAAAGGATTAATTGGAACTCTAGGTTGCCCGTACTGGTATATACGTCATTAGTTTGATCGTATAATTCAGAGCATCTAAATTGGCAATCGTATTTGGTGATAGTGTATAAGCTAAGGACATAACAACAACCATATCATTCCTGATCATAATTAATTTTTCTTTTTAAAAAAAAACATACTTATTTAACAAGGTTAAAGTATGCTGTAAATCGTTCAACGCTTGACCAGTAAATCCTTGATACATGCCAGACTGACATTTGAACATATGAATTTCAACTAATTCTGTATTTTAATTTCAAAAAAAAGAGAAGAAAAAAAAACAGTAGAAAAGTTAGCATTGAAAAATACGAAACATTAATACTTTGTTGAAATCTATTAAATGTATTCAACCACACAATTGAGATATGTGATAAAACAATGATTTAACTGAAGAATGAAAATAAATGTCAACTCGTTTTCAAACGATAATTCACGGGGTATCTACGACGAGTAACGCGTCTGTGATGTATGAAAAGGAAAAGAATTCTCTTTGTAATAAATTACATAAGTATTAATATTATTGATGGCTTTATTCAATATTATAGTTTTGGTACAATATAGAATTCTCAGCACAACATACAATAATGTAAATAACAGTTGATAGCTTTATAAGCAAAGATGGATAGTGGCTAGCAGTGGAATCCAGGACGCGCGTTTCGTCCTGTTTGGGACTCGTCAGCTGGATGGACATGCATCTCAGAGTTGATGTTCACTCTGGGACTCGAACTCATTACCGTTCGCTTCAAACGCCATTGCGTTATCCACTTAGCTACTGAGTCCTGATAGCCACTTGCTTGTGCAATGGGTTGAAGTTGAATTCACTTGATATTGTTTTACTTGAATCTTCCCATTGATGTTTTTGGACTGAAATTGATCAGCCTCTTATTGGCATATGTGCATACTGTGCGTATGCCTCGATATTGCCTTAATTTACAAGCATTATAAGCAACCCATTGCACAAGCAAGTGGCTATCAGGACTCAGTAGCTAAGTGGATAACGCAATGGCGTTTGAATCGAACGGTAATGAGTTCGAGTCCCAGAGTGAACATCAACTCTGAGATGCAGGTACATCCAGCTGACGAGTCCCAAACAGGACGAAACGCGCGTCCTGGATTCCACTGCTAGCCACTATCCATCTTTGCTTATAATGCTTGTAAATTAAGGCAATATCGAGGCATACGCACAGTATGCACATATGCCAATAAGAGACTGATCAATTTCAGTCCTAAAACATCAATGGGAAGATTCAAGTAAAACAATGTCAAGTTGGTAGATTTGTTTCAAACAAGTATAAAATGTATGTTCATGATAGATTGACATCTTTTTGGTAGATTACGTCCATCGACCTCATGAAAACTAAATATGTCATTTAGTTTAGAAATACGTGGTGTTTGGGATTTAATGCCAAAAAAGATAACATACAACTGCTATATTACAAATGGAATAAATGTAAGCACATCCTTTTTGATCGATGACTGTTTGTGTTGAAAATTCTTAGAATATGCCAAAGAAAAATTAATAACGGTTCAGAAAACGCTTAGAAATACTTGATTCGACCAGGTATGACCACAAGCCTCGTCAATACATTTAGAAGGATAATAGAACATGTGTCCTGTTTTAATTGGATAATTGCTTTACTGCTGCTATATTTAACATGCTTCTGGAACTTTCTAGACGATTAAGGTCATGTTAAATAGCACAAATGGGCAAGATTTCCTGCATATACCCTGACCTTTAAGTAAAGCTATTTTTGGCACTTTGCGCCTCTTCTCTTAAATTTAATTTGCAGATTTAGTCTGAGGTTATTGAAAGCGGCTAGGAAATTGGACTGAGTGTTCAATTAGCAGACTTATCGAATCGCAAGACAACAAACATGTGACATTGATAGTCAGTAACACATGAAGTTCAATATTCGAGAGCAACTTTGAAAAAAATAAATGTATTGCCCAAAAATCACTTTCATTTCATGGCTCGCAAACAGAGCAATTACCAAACCTAAAAATCCTATGCAAACAATTTAATTTGTCAGCCGTGAGGAGTGTCAGCTCTCCCTCCCGAAATGACCTCACATCGCCACGCGTATATAGACACTTTCACAGACGTTCTACTCTCTGCCTCCTCATCGAGGTTGTTGTCAACGAAATTCAGAGGACGAAGAGAGAATGTCCGACTCCTTAACCGGGTTGGTGGGTATGGAGGATCCATCTAGAGGAGTGGGAGAACCCTCATTCTAAATCAATAGTGAACATGGTACCAGGATCCTGAGAACAAATGGTATATTAATCTATTGTTAGTCACCGGCTACCATGGGACCCTATCTCCTTCCATTGCTCCACTGCCCTGTGGATTGGACCTCTGGGTCAAAGGCTCAGGAAGTAGCTCCTTAAGTAAATCACCTGCTCCGATTTGCACACAACCCTCATACAAATCAATGATAACTACTACTGACCTCATTGTTATTGTGTGGTGCATACATATTTGGTGCCCACCTGTACTAATGTTTAAATGTCCAAGTAAATAAAAATAAGTAAACTTAATTTTAGTGAAATTGTGGAACCAAATATTTTTGACAGATTCTACACATTAAACACTAAGAAAGTAAACAGATATACTAACCTTTCATAATCAAGACATAGAATTTTCTGTATAATCGATCAATCATGTAATTATTTTCAATCATTTTTAGTGCATTATTAAAACAACAAAGTGAGGAGTAAATATCATTCATATGACGATAAGCTCTTCCACATCTAAATTTTTAATAAAAGAATATTGATAATTTACTTGTTATAAGAATTGAATACATGACCAAATAATAATAAGAAGAAGAACAAATTATTATTGTTAAGAAAGAGTAACTTCAGATTAATTAGGAATGTTGACAGTTAAATCTTATGTTAGGCGATTGAAATAATCGGTAGGAATTACTAGACCAAGATGTTGTACTAACTGGTACTCATGTACTTGTATTGTTCAAAAAGTAAATATGCCATGATACAGTTTAGGAGTTTGTCACAAGACTACCCAGAACTTAAAGGATTAAATACATATGATACTGCTAACTACTCAGTGAACGAGGTTAGGCAACTCACTCTATATATGTTAACATTGACTTGAATAAAATGAAGATTGAAATGTTAGCAAGTAAGTCAAACCAATAACCCTAGTTTATGTGTTTAAAAGAAATTCGTGACAATCTTGTCCGTTCATTGGCTAGATATGAATTAACAACTTTTGTTTAAAGATTCTCACTTTATTAAAACAAAAATATGTGGCTCAGTAAAAGCGTGTCACGAAGACGGTTTTATCTTAAATAATCTGATTCAGACGAACCAAATACGAATAACATATTATGACCAGTAATTTTTAACGATAATCCACCAAGTTAGACGTCATTTGTCAAACGTACTTGCACTACGATGTTTTGTTGTTGAGAAAAACCGAACGTTTTATCCACAAAAGGAACGAATCCAGATCTATTTTATACCTTGACCGATCTAACTACATAATAGTAATAAATCGACAAGATGATTAACCTCATCTATTTCCCTCTACGCTTTATTCTCATAAATCTGGACACTTACCTAGCGCTCGATATAATTTCATTCTGTTACGTGACCACTGACCGGTCAGCAATTGATTTGACTACTAAATATATTACTATTACACTATCCACCCTACATGATCTATATTTATTCCTATTATTATTATTATTATTATTATTATTATTATTATTATTATTATTATTATTATCAAAATTTCACTTGATTAATTAACATAATTCCAGTATACACTCCACGCCAATGACTTAAACGTTTACAACACGTATTAAAATTCATAAAGTCGATCGTTAAAAATTCATTAGCCTTCAAGTCGATTTAAACGTGGCACTCGTAACAGATCAACCTCAATCAGAGTATCATTGAAAACTAGAGAGCATTGAATAGAAAGTACAAACTCAGGACGGACTATGGATACGAACAGTTGATGAGTTCCACATTAAAACGAAACAGCTATCCAGTATTTCTTGTATAATATCCGAACTGAGGTAAATCTATGACAAAGGCCGAATTCAAAGTAAACTAATCTCCACAAATAAATCCTAATCTAACGTCTTCATGTTTTTACTTGAGTCGTCCGATTCACAGATTTCCAGTTGAAGTACCATGATATAATTGCAGTCACAATAGTTTTAGAGGGTCATTTGCATCAGTCAACCATGTTCTTAATTCTAGTCATGGTCATTGAAGTGATTACCGATTTCAAATATTCGGCAGTAGAATAGTAGGGATAAAACAATAAGGGTATATTAGTATTCGAAAATGCGTGCTTTATAACATTATTGGACTAGCTGTTTGTGATAATATGTATCCAAAGTACCATAGAATCCACTTAAGATTTCTGATTCATTGACAGAGTACTTCCAAAACGTAATATTTCAAAAACAGATTATCAAATTTGTCTGGAAATACAGTTGTATCACGAATAGCAACACAAGCAATTAAAACTAAAAAAATATGGAATTTTGTGTATGGGAATGGGGTATCCGGATTTTCAAGCAAATGCCATTTTTAATCTTAGGGTCGGAATCGACTAGCAGTTCTTCTATAAAGTGGTTAGTGAAAACAAGTCAATATCATGTAGATTTTATGGATTTACATATCTACAATGTTCTAAACGAAGTTGAAAATTCAAAGAAATTGAGTTTGTGCTTAAAGTAAAAATTCAGACACTGCCACTGACCTATTCCTACAACATTAGAGTATTATTGAACAATGAAACATGATACACAAAACTTTAAGTCAAGGTAAAAAAAATTACGCTTACAGAACTAGTGTAAATGGTCGATTCGGTTCTAGCTGAAATTGTCGATCATGGAAAGGAAAAAAGCAGAGACAAACAAAAAAGAATGAAGTGATTCTATAAATTATTACTATTATTATTCAACTGTTGGTTTATTAGACGAAATTGAATCCATGTAATATAATTTATCCAGAGAACAAGATCATTTTGTGCACCCAGTTACGTATATTGACAAAATAGTTTTATGCAAAATTATGCGTCAGTAATGTTTGTCTCGTAGAAGTAAGGTAGTGGTTTGTCACTGGGCATGAACAGACGTACACTTATCTTACTGACTATTTAATTAATTTCCTTCCTACTCTAGACGTACTGAGTGTAGACTGCTCGTAATAGTTTTGAATAAGGTATTATCTAGTCTATACTCTGATTCTCTACTTTGATTGTAAATCATGTATCTGGTCTAACGTGATACAATCTGTACATAGCCTTACGATCGAGTACCTAGTTTAGTGGTAATATAATCTCAGTCACTAATCTTATTATCGTATAATAATAGTAAATCATGGCAAGACGGGAAATGTTTTCATTCAAAGTATTTTTAATAACAATAATGAACGTCAATACAGTTTGAACAGTTTGGTGGTTATAACTAAGCAGGTAAATGAATGGAAATTTGTTACCATTTTAAACAATCGATACTTATCGTCAGTATGGAGTTGTAGAGAATATTAAATTTCATTGAAATCACAAACTTATCTAGGTTGGACGACTATTTAAAACATGGAAGCAGTCGACAGCCGTTTCGTTCTAGTATGAAATTGATTGCTCAGAAGTGAACAACCACAACCCTAACAGTGCTCTGGAAGTTAAACTTTTGAGCGCAAAACGGAAGGCCCTGGGGTCTATTACCGGTTGCGGGTTCATGGATGTGCACTGAAGCGAAGTTCCATACTAGGATGAGGAAAACGTTTAGTGATTCCGGGTTTTAAATGGTTTTCGAACTTGTATCATTTCGTGATTTCAATAAAAATCGGTACTTAGTTCGGATCTCAGTATAAATACATCAACAGTAGGTTGCGGAGAATTTTAATTATATCAACTCATTTACTAGGGTATAGATTTGTGTACTTAGCATCAGATCCACACTATGCATTGAGGTCTGTTGATGCTATCCGGTTGACCAAACCGAATTAGATGGGGCGAGGTTAGTGGCTAGAAATCGAATCCGTTAACCACGCAGCTACTGCTTCATTCAACTAACGAGTCCCGAATAGGGAGAGACGCAGACAGGAAATTTCATTAGTAACTAACATCCAATAAAAACTGTTGTACTTAGTCGTTTAAACTGAAATAACACAGAGCATTCGGTATTAAAACTAAATAACTGCAAATTCAATTACGTTGTCGGTGTGCTTCGATGAATGAATCAATCAAAAGCAGGTTAAATTAATTCGCTATATATTTCGATTTAGCCAGTAATGTATGTAGTATGTTTTTATAATCATGATAAGTTAACAAATTTTCTCCATTTTTTCATATAACTATTGACTAATTTACGCAAAACTGTGTAATTCAAAGAATAAGTTTAATATCGAATTATGTGTGTATATACAGTAAACAAATGGACTTATATATCGATATGAAATGATTATTTGATCCGTTATCTGGGCACCATGCAATCTATTTATCTATTTTAACACATAAAAATCGGTACAATGAGGCACAAAATACATATGCGCCACACAAATCTCATTCGATGTGTGAGGGCTGTGATACTGCTCGGGTGCCCAAACCGAAGCACCATGCAATGCTTATTAACTATCTGATTTAATATCATTATGAAAATTTGTGGAGATTGTAATATTTCGACAGTTGAATTTAAGAGTCAAGCTAAGCTGGACCACCATTGATTTAAATTCTACGAGAAGAAACAGACGTGGATATGCAAGTTAAAAAAAGCTTTCAGAGAATGTAATATATTTCTCATTTTGGACATCAACTGAAACAAACATCAAATCTCTGAATTCAAATCCTATAACCTTTGAACATTCCTTTTATTCACTAGAGAACGAAGATGTGATCTAGATGTTAAGGAACGAATTAACAAAACGAGATTAGCGTTCTTACAAGTGAAAGACATCTGGAACTCAAAATTACTGCCAACCAACACCAAAGTCGACATTTTCGATATAGTCCCATTATATGTAGCTGAAACTTAGAGAACTATCACAAACGTCATCACCGAAAATTGCAGATATTTATAAACAGCTGTCAACGAATATATTAAAGAGCCAGATATCACCAGCAATAACCCACTATGACAGAGAACAAGGCGGCTCCAAGTTGGGGAGGAAATAAGGAAAAGACATTGGAGGTGGACAGGATATAACTTTACTGGAATCATTAGACTGCATTACAAGTTCCAACTTGGAAATCTTTAAAGCAGGAAGGAAAGCAGATCAAAGAACACATGGCGCGTAGAATTGGATACAGGCATCAAGACTATGAACATCAGTTGACAAAAAAGTTGGTTGCGGATCCCTCGTTGGTGGCCTACGTCCAATGACGGATAGTGACAGGCTTAAATCAAGTTTTACTCGATTAGTCTTTCTATAGTACTGTCCATACATTTTTAATTAATTCCCCTTGTTGCTACTAAGTGAGAAAAACAATATGTTGCTTTTCAATGCAAAAAAATCAGGCAGAAAGCTCATTTGCACGATTAAACAAAGAAAAAACATACGTCTAAGGCACGATTGAAAGCTTTTACCGCTGTTTCATAACTTCTACGAAATAAGTAAGCTTCACCGAGAATTTCCCAATATAATCTAAAAAAAGTTTATATAGAGATACATTTAACTGTCATTTATAAATTCCATGAAATTTCACAGGCGAAATCATCACAAGTAGAATGAATACAATCACTAGTAACTGTTAAAAGTTCTATATCGAAACTATGAACTAGAGAAGTGTTAGACATACTAGCGAAAAATCCCTTCTACGTAATAAGACAGAGAAAGAAAAGGATTTCATACTCTCTCAAAAAATATATATATAGGCAATTTAGTGGAATAAACGAATTTTTATTAGGACAACAAATTACGTACAGCTTAGAACAAATGGTACATAGAGTGGATGGAGATTTACAGAATTTTAATAATTGAGTTCATGAGTCGATCTAAGCTAAACCACCATTAAAAACCTAGAAGTACTGAACGACCGTTTCGTCCCAGTATGGGACTCTTCACCATTGTGCATCCACGACCCCACATGCGGGACTTAAACAGAATTCACCAAATTTAAATACTAACTTTAACAACAGTTAACATACAATAATAAGACATCATTGCTATGAACTGGTGGTAGAAGCAACACGATTTCCAGTCACATTTAGAATCACAAAATATTCTCAAATAATAAAGTAATTTTAATATAAGTGGCTGAAGCTAAAGCATCCTGAAGGAACAGATTTTGCATTCGATCTTCGGTGGGATAGTTGATGTGCACTACTGATGAGTTCCCATACTAGGACCATATAGTTATCCACTGATTCCACATATTAATGTTTGGTTAACAAACGTCAGTTCGTGATGTGAACTATAAACTATTGCTGGAAAGTTGAAAGGGTACTTTTACAGAACACTTTTTCCTAAAACCCCAAACCAAGACTTCATATCTGTTTCCACATGGTACAAACACATATACACATAAATACCAAGCTCCAATCAACCTAAACATTGACGAATAATAGATTTAACGGTTGCTATTAAGTCTACCAATTTGATTGGTATTTGATCTACTATTTTCCTTGACTAATTGATAGATATCAGTAAGTTGAAAGATACATGTAAATATATGGAGTTTATTATTATTATTACTATTACTACTACATCTATTATTTTTATTAATATTATTAACGAAATATGTACAACACTTACGCGTCATTTTTAGCTAAAACAACACGTTGTAATGCAGGTAAACAGTCGTTTATTCGACCCAAACGTAAATTAATTAAGCCATAATTAAGCCACATATCTTTTGTGAAATCACTAAACAAACAGATAAATGAAATAATAACAATAATAGATTATATATAGAATACAGGACGTATGTTTCATCCTATGTGACACTTGTCAACTGGACTAAATTTTAACAACGGAATAATTCAAGCTATCCAAAAAAAATGAAATTCACAGATACACTAAGAAATAGAATTTTTATGAAAGTGATTCCAAGCAGATAAGGCAAGTCTACACAAAATGCAACTATAACAGAGTTTTATATTAAATAAAGAAATATTACCTATCTCATAATTCGTCAATTAGTCAGTCATAATCAACGCATAGGCTATGCAAAAATGTACGATAGGTCTAAGTTGTTACATCACAACATTAGCACAAGGAGATGAAATCAAGAGAATGAATGCCAAAGGAATCGAAATAACGTAATACTAATGTTAATGCGAAAGACTGAATATTGAGAACATAGTTCTAAAAGATAAAGGTAAGATATATGTGAAGTGATACCGAGACTGAAGGTCTACGGTAAAGTGTATGAATGTACCTGGGCTGTTATGACTGATTTTGACCCAAGTCACGTAGGGCTTTCAACCACTCAGATGACAGCTATCACTCAAACTCCAACCAGATATTCGGTTCAGGTCGACAGTCCATGACTTCTTGGATTCATTCCATGTCATGTTTCTACTGTCATCAGCTTTCTTCCAACCTATCATTCCTCAGTATCTTCAATGCCTAACTTCAACATAGCTAAATCTATCATTTCACCATTTGTAAGTAATATTTTTTAGAAATCTATGATCAAAAACTTTCAGTATACGGATAATTTGGTGTTCGTTTATGTTGTGTTAGGCAGTTGACCAATTTTTCTACCGATACACATAATTCCTATAGATAAACCTAAACAGGTACTTGAGTGAAAAGACAAGAAAGAAATAGGAAGCTTTACTGACAAACCCTAATTGAAATAGATGTACTAACTCATCCATTGTCAAAAATATATGTCCCACAGAAAATGTAGCCTAGTTTCAAACAATGGCATGCGCCCGTCAGTGTCTCGTATTAACCCTTTGACCATGTCTGTTTAATTTTGAAGTAAATTAACAAATTATGTATACTCAATGGTGACTGACTTCGAGAATTATTTACGAGTTTATGATGACAAGCTGTAGACAATGCGCGTTTAAACATATTAGGAGTGAGATAGACACTACTGATAGCAATGAATGATGGTTAAGTTACATTGTAAACTAACTAAAATTTGATCTTTGGAAGTTTACTAAAAAATTTAGAACGTATGGTGCCTCCCAAGAGACATGAAACTCTTGTATTTGAACACTAGTATGGTCATAAGTGAGCTCTGTACTAAAAGGTTATAAATAAGAACCAAGGTTATATTTAATTCAATCTGATTTCAAATTGTTTTTCTCCAATAAATGAGACCTGGACAACAACTACTTCTTTCTGATTCAATGAAAACTCCTTTAATTCACAATGTAACTTTATTATGAAATTTCTTTTTCAAGCACGCATATACTACTATCAAAGTTATTAAAACTCAACACTTTTATTGTTATAAACATTAAAAATATTGAAAGACACTACTACTACTGTACTGAACGAAGACTTGGCGGAGATACCCAATTTATTGTTCAATGCAAAATCACAGTGGCTTATTGAAATGTGAAATTCATATATTAAGTACATCATTCGCACATCGTCTTGGAATTTTTTCTTAAAAGCTTTATTCTTTCTTCATTTCTGTTGTTATCTTGATTGCTTTCTGTTATTTCTGGCCGCTGATGATTGTTATGTCAGAAGCGCTTATCACTTATACATGTAAAACGAGGAACCACTGCAGTTCACACGACGCGAAATAAGAACACAAAGACTGGTACAAGTGAAGGTATATTAACCCCAAAATACGACGACGACCCTAGTCGAAAATACAATCATTTATTTAATAGAGAATGCACTAGAACTGACTAGATGGCGGGAATCAGGGTTTGATTCTTCTGTAACATTTTCCTCAAATTTATTGAAAATCTCATTAGTAGATAATGGATCACTGGGAAAACCAGTATCTACCAAACTTGCATTAGATTTTTGACCATAATTTGGTTCATCCTACCTATTTTCCTCATTTTTGTAAGGAATTCTATCAAAAACATGTGAGCCATTAGGATAACTCATATCTAGTAAAACCCGATAAGTAGATTCATCAGAAACTTCTGTCGCAGAATGATAAGTTTCATTTGGTGCAATTGTGTTCATTATGCTGCTCGATTTATTTTGTTTGTTCGTGCGCGGGTACTGCAATAATTTCATGACAATTTTACAAGAGACCGTCTTTCTGAGAGCTGGGCAAGTCATTACTGGTATATTGTGTAATATACACAACACTACTAATAGTAATAATATTACTATAAAGTGTTTACAACAATAATATCAACGAGTAACTAAAGTAACAATAAAAATTTGAATTGCATCATCCAATTACAATAATTTTTACTTACATATGATCAATAAATGAATACACATCCAAAGCTTTTTCCTATATGAACAGAGGAAAAATGAAAAGAACGCATTGACGACAATGTAGAAGAAGAAGAAGAAAACATGCATGACTATTCTCATCAAAAAGAAAAATCAATAAACCAGGATAAGCAGATGGATTTACATATTATGAAAATAGAAATAGTAGTATATGAACGAGTTTAAAGTATATACGACAAGTTCCAAATAGTTTCTAGCCAGTTAATCATAGAACGGCTATTATAGATTGATAGTTTATGAAAAAGAAAACAGTACTATTGACAGTGAAAACAGGCATTACATAATCAGTAAGTTTGTTAGTGTCTTCTACGGATTACTATGCCTGTAAATTCAAATGAAAACAAAGACATAAACGCATCTTAATGGTGATAGTTTATCCATATTCTCGAATATTTGAAAGAATCTAAACAGATTTTTAAGAGTCTCCTCTAAATTGTTCCCAGTGAGAGTTTGAATTTTCATCACCAATTAACATCAGCTATAATTCAAAAGTGTTCTGTAGTTAAATGATTGAATGAATTTCAAATACATATCCAAGAGGCGCTATCTGATTAGTTCATTCACAAAGCACAAGGACTCACTACGTTTCGGTTTATTTCACAATCAAAGATTTTATGGTTAGGAATTAGGAATAAAGTCGATTTATCTACTATATACAATCATAAGAGATAGAATCATGTATTTGATATATTTAATACCATCACTTTTACTCTATGGTGACAGATTTTCGTTTTTAGACGGTTTTAAACGTTTTACGTAATATGTGAAAGTATTTCTCCTGATCACCATATGTTATACTTGAATTTCGCACAAAAACCCAAAAGCCACTTTTTTTAAATTCTAATTAACTCATCCCTTAGTCTTAGTTTCACCGTGAATTCCTGGTGTGAATTTGAAAAAAGAACACAAATTGATTCTAACCAATTAAGTTAATTATTCAAAATGTGAGAAATTTATGGAGCTTGTTGAATTTCATAGTTTAACATCACAAGTGGGCCTTAATTAGTTACCTAATTGAAAACTAGGAAGCACTCGATAATTCTGTTTAGTCCTAATAAGTGACTCTTTGATAGTGTGTATTCACGATCCCACAGGGTTTCCAGCCCCGATGACTCACTAATTAAGGTCAATTTGTAATCGAAAACTATGTGAATTAACTGTCTCATCTTTCATCAATTCTATACGGAAATGAATTGTGATTGCATTCAAGCGAAGCAACAACTTTGAAGTATCTATACAAAGTATTCTAAAAACAGAGATGGATGGTGGAGAGCAGTAGCATCCAAGATGCACGTTTCATCCTCGCCGGGACTCAGCTTGGTATGCCTCCATCTAAATTACTAAAACACTAGAGGCCTAAACAATAACGATAGTCACCTCCCACATATTCACCCTCCCAGTTAATACCGTACACGAACGGAAGTACTGAGTGACATCAAACTATAAGACATCATCTCCAATTACCAAAACATTCAGGACATAGTTGGCTAAACCACTTTTTAAGAGTACTCATTTTTTAATATACTACTTATCAAAGACAACTTTATGCCTAGGCAACTCACGAATATGGCAGTGTATATTTTATCAGCAATAGTATATTTTAAAAATGATCACGACTGAGCGTTTATTTTGCATGTGTCCTAATACTACACATCATTAAAACCTGATCAAAAGTCGTTAGTCAAAATAATTTATGAAAGTAGAGAATACACTTAAGTAGCCAATTCTTTGATCATATGTGTCTTCGTAGAGCTACTTACACTCAATGGAAGCATCAAGAAAGAAACTCATAGGGTGCTAAGTACATGTACAATGATAGCAATAATATTCCGTAAAAGAATGACGTTAATTGTGAGACTTACCCATTCTTCTTGCCTACACAATGCCACTGAATAATAATAAGCGCAAACTGGCGAACAAGGCATCAAACGATAGGCTTCAGAATAGAACGTCAATGCCTCTCTGAGGAAACAAAATGAAGACGAACGAACAAAAAGAAACGAAAGATAAATATGAGGAAGAAGTAATACCGTCGGGACCCTTATAAAAATCCTAAGTAATTAATGCAATAATTATCAAGGAATAAGTCTGCTACCAATCGCTTTCAAACTATTAGTTTCGATCATAATCTGAAGACTGTATAAAAACCATGTAGGACTAACTCGCGAAGAACGGACTGACTTTGATTAAGGTTATATATCACATCCTCACACCACCAAACCTTGTAATACCACCACACTTGTTCCAGGTCACGAATCATGGTGTTTCTTGATACCAGGGCCGTGGTCTTCAATTCATTGAATAGGACTGTGCAACGAGAATGTCTGTCCAAGAAGGGTGCGCACGAGAACCTTATTGTTATCTTGAAGGCTATGTATATAAACATCTCAGGCAGAGTGAGGGCATACATCTACATCTCTCAGTTTTCCTATTCCATAAGTCGGGTTGTCCAATCTCACCATTCCTCTTCAACTTTGCCATCGATAATGTTTTGGAAACAGCTCTGAAGAAAGTACACAGTAGTGATGTGGATATGTTGTCTAAAGATCACGAGTATGGAGGTGTTTTAATTTGTAACAAACGAACCGGCTGGTCAAATTACGTTTAAACATTTGAGAATTAGTGCTCAAGAGTACAGTATGAACCCTGAAACTTCGAAGTGTAAAGTAGTTTATAATTGTCTCGAAAAGATTACTCAAATTCAGCGGAGACAGTATGTTAGTAATCCCGAAGTGAGTTCGTGTGTAGAGATAGTGATTAAACTGGGGTTACCACATCGAAACACTGGCTTCAGTATCTTGGATATATTCTACAGATATCATCCAAGTGACGCCCAACAAATAAATAAAAGTATAGCCGGACAAAATGGTTGTCATCTATGGAAAATGTCTTATTGACAATAGACCTCGGTATGGCTCTGATACTTTTAGTCTTATGAATTTTCAACCGATCATTTCTGGTACATTAAAACCCCAAATAAGCGTTAGTGATATCATTACGATACGCTAACTCGACTACTAAACAAAATGTTGTTTTCGGTTACGAAAAGTATCAGTTGAAGGCAAGTAATACTTCAGAAGTTGATTGTACTTGATTATTGGTTAATTTTAACACCTAACTGACGTGTCATTAAGATATTTCAAAGATGATGCAGAGATTAAATATAAAACATTACCTAAGAGTGGTGAATAAATGTATGAAATTATTGTAACTGAGTGATTATAATGCTAATGATTCCCAACTATTTCAATCAGCTGACTGGTTGGACAAACCGAGAACACGTAGAATTCTCAGATATCCAACACAACCCACCACTTTTTCCTTTTCCCCTAACCGTTAACAAATAACAATGTGATACAAATTGTCTTAGAAAAGAACAGAAAAAATCACTGACATACTTCGTACACAAAAAAAAAAAGACTTACTTAAAACTCTCCATTTCACGGTGTATATGACCTATTTGTAAATAATTCGCATAATAACACTTATCCAATTGAACACCAACAGAAAATGCATTTAATTGTTGATCACCACCCATAGTTTCAGGATAATTTGTAATAGATTGTGAAAACATTTTCATTACATAACCAATCAAATACTGATAACGAGCTGAATGAATGGTAAGATTATTTGTTTTAAGTAAATCTAAAAATTCATTCACAATAGGCTGTGACATTGTTTCTAAAAAGAAAATTTGTTAAAAGTATTTTATTTTTAAGGGAAAAAACGTTAAACGTTATGTTTAAACAGGATAATGATAATGAATAATCATAATTTATAACAAAGTCAATGGCGAGACTATAATTTATGGACGAACCAATCACGTATAAGATAACGTCTCAGATGTTGGCGCGAAATTCACTAATCCATTTGGATAAATAGAGTCTTGGCATTATAGCCGATGTCAGTTTATGATGAAAAACCGAAATCTAATTCCTAAGCTTAATTGTCAACTGTAAATCACAATTCTAATTTCTTACATAGGTTCATAACCCTCATTTGGTCCTGGTTATTAAGCGGACACTCTCAAGGTCAGTTTAGCGTCGCTCAAAGGTCGTCCATAAATTAAAGTCTCACAAAATCAATCAGTGATAAGCAAAATATCACACTCTATATTACCAAAACCAGATGAAATTACCAAAACTGATCATATTCTTACCATATTCTACTCTTTACAGGTTCATATTAACCAACTATTAACTGAGTAGGGTTTCTAATTGATCCGTCTTTTTTTAGTAATGGCTTTATTCAATATTATATTTTTGGTACAATATAGAATTCTCAGCATAAAGTATTTCAACAAGTTTCCTTACTTTATTTCTTCATTTATCCTGACGATAAATATTGAGTGATCACCAGTTAGATGTTTTTATTTATTATTTATTTGAACACATAAATACTGGTACAAGGGGGCACCAAATACACATGCACCACACAAATCTCATTTGATGTGTGAAGGCTGTGATACTGCCCGGGTGCCCAAACCGAAGCAGGTGGTTTTCTTAGGGGGCCACACCCGGTGCCCTCGACCTAAAGGTCTGATCCACAAGACAGTGGAGCATCGTGAGGAGATGCAGTCTCATGGTAGCCGGTGACCAACGATTGGTTCATACCTCATTTGTTCATTCAATATACTGGAGCCCATGTGCACCATTGGTTTGGAATGAGGGTTTTCCAACTCCCCTAGGTGGACTATCCTTGTCCACCAACCCGATTAAAGCGCCAGACATTCGCTTTTCGTCCTCTCAATTCCGTAAACAACACTCCCACCACGAGAAGGCAATGAGTAGGACTTCCCTGGCAGAGGCTGTATACGCGTGGCCATGTGAGAGCATTTCGAGAGAGAGAGAGAGCGGACTCTCCCTACTCTCGGCCATACCAGGGCATTTGGGGGCTGGTAGACCAAACCGAAGTAGGTGGAGCAGGGTTCGCACCTGTAACTTAGTGGCTGAAAGTCAAATGCCCTAATCGCTAAGCCGTCGCACCATACAAAGTTATAAAGTAATTGGAAATAGTTATTCACTTTAAATAGGATACTTAAAGAGATTAATTATTGATCGAATTACCAACGAAAACATATGCTTAAAACAGAATGTCGACATTTGTACAACAAAAAATCACGTTTTTTCCTATCTAGTTCTCTAGAACTATCGAATGTGTATATCGTTAATAACTTACTATCGGAATCATTCATCAACTTCGTAGAAATAAGCTTAGATACTTTTAACCATATCAGACATATTCGAAAACGTGGAGATAAATCAATACTATTTGGGATTGTCTCATCCATTTGGCAACCATGATGTATTTTCCACTTTTCAAGAATATTGAATGCCACTTCTAAATTATTAACGATTAGGTAGTATTCCAAGTACAAAGTTTGATAAACATCTATCCAAGTAGACAGGATCTAAAAAGAAAGGGATATTTTTTCAAAAGAAATTTTAAAGATTAGAACACCTAAACAGTAGAAATACTCTTAACAAATATAAATGAATATTCGTTAGATGGTTTTTGTGGAGATTGTAGTAATTTCAATGGTTAAGATCATGAGTCAATTGAAGCCAGACCACCATGGAAAACCTGGAAGCACTGGACGGCCGTTTCGTCCTATTGTGGGACTTCACAGCAGTGTGCATCCACGATTCCGCTCAAGGGATTTGAACCCAGGACATGTCAGTCTCGAGCGCAAGCCCTTCACCACTAGATCAGTAGATAAAGTTTGAACAATACTGTTATGGACATAAATCACTTTTATGAATTAGTAGAAAAAAATTACTTCGATAATCAACTATATACATCAGAAATTGATAAATTAATTCCTATCTTAGGTAGAACTAAGATGTATAAGCAATTGATCTAAAAAAATGTCTACACGATAACAATGTAACTCTAATCGAAAATGGTAGATAGAAATAATAATATTATTATATATTATATTATTATTGTTGTTGTTTAGACAGTTAATTGAAGTTAAAAAGGTTGAATAGTAACTAGGAGAAAAATAACAATTGATTGTTGAGGTTTTGGGAAATGGATGATACATTTTCAATCAACCTATTACTCATCGTTAATATGTTGAGAACTTATATTAAAAATATTCATAATTTAATTCATTTCCATATTGTTGGCATATGTGTATCCTGTGAGGAGTGCCTTGATGTTACCTTAAGTCACAAGCATTCTAAGCTAGGAGTGCAATAATCCAGGATGTGCGCCACTTTGTCATATTTGGGACTTGTCAGCTGAATGTACCCGCATCACAGAGTCAATGTTCACTGCGACACCCAGCATTGTTCTCTTCAAGCGAACGATGCTGAGTTCAATTCCTGGAGTGAACATCAACTCTGGGATGCAGGTGCATCCGGCTGACGAGTCCTATGTAGGACAAAATTTGCATCCTGGATACTACTGCTAACCACTATCCATCTTTACTTATTGATAATCTTAGTTTTCGCTCATCGTATTATTAATTTGATACAAAAGTGTTAGGTTAATAATCTTCAAGTCTTTTAAAACAAATATTTAGTTTAACTTGAATTGGATTCGAACTATTCTAATCAGTAAATATTTATGTATAGTTTAATTTAATAAGATAAATGTTTTCTTATCAAATGTAGATCACAGTTGACTGTTAAAATCCAAATGCATCATAATTAAAAAATATATAGATATCATATTATTACAGTGGGTCGAAAATCGCCAAGTGGCTTTCTTTTCCAAGAGATAAGGCATAAACCACTGATGGGCTTGATTTTACAGGGGTTATATATACATATGTATGCGTCTAGCCAAATAGACTTCTTTCCTCACTCCGTATTAGAAGAAAAATATTATTGGTTTAATGATGACTACAACAGTTACAACTAGATAAAATAAACGACTTTCTGTCGAAATGATAGATAGTTCGTGTTTGATTAGTCGGTTAATCATTCGTAATCAAGGTACGATGTAATACGAACTTGCATTGGTTCAATTCACTATGTAAGAGTAATGCAACTCATATACCAAGTATAGATTTATGTACTCAACTTCGGATCGCACAGTTTATGGGAGAGTTATTAATACTTCTTGGCTCTTCAAAACAAAGCAGATTAAGTGGGATTTGGACCTGTGACCTACAGGCCTTAAAGCATAGTGATTTAACAATAGATACTTCTCCAAAGATATTTATGCATATAGACAATATAAAATGAGTTTATCATTATAGTGGTTTTCCAGTAGAACAAGATATCATTCAAACTCTTTAAAACCTGAGTAGTACAGAATCATTCTATGGTGCAACCCCCCTTTATCAGAGACCAAGAACTTCAGTTGACTGGAAGCACCAAATGTTAGACAGCTGCTTCACTTTTAACATAAGCCCCTTCAGAAGTGAATGCCAATGAAACTTACCAAGAATCAAATCTTATACCTACACACCTCAGAATGAGCGCATTATTCTTAGAATGATAAAAAACTGAGAAAATAATGATACATATATCGAATAGTCTCAGATCCCAGTAGATTTTTTGTCAAGTTACCTTCCATAAGTTAACAACGGAGAAATAATATGTTCTAATGCCAACAGAACTCGTTGAACAACAACAAAACCTACCATTATCAGATATTTCAGAATCTTGAAATCAAAGTTTAAGGCTAGTGAGAATACAACAACACTCGGTGTCCAAAAGTTGATACTGATACACAAACTTCCTATACCCGAACCCAATCTGCTACTCGAGTTAAAAGATATATATCCACACTAGGTAATTAAGCCTTTCAGTGATTTATATCTCATCCCTTAGCTAACATCGTAAACTTGTCATTTGACGATTTTTTTATTGACACAATGTATCAGTTACAATAATAACTTCAATACATGAGCCAGAAATCATTTTGTATTTTACTGCATACCTAAACTAAATATTACAATCTTTAGAATGTAAAATACTATTAAATGAATTAAAACACAATTGATAACTTGAGAGAATGGATATCCAAATTAAAATTGATTTGTAACTAATTGTTAGTTTCAAGTGAAAACAGTCAGTCAGTCAGTAACAAAATAGAACTTCATACGTACGTACATCAGTTCGAGTTGCCATACCACATTAGTACAGAGATACAGTTGTCGATTCAAATCCCGTAGTGGTAGAGGTAGTAAGAGTATAAGCAGTAATCGGGAAGATTAGGGTTTGGAGATGTTATTTAAAGAGTATAGTCCAGTGAAATAAATTTGGGAAGAGAAAAAAGAGACAAGGAGGAATCAGGAGACTAAAGCTTGGGAGAACACAAATAGTGTATGCACCTGCGCCATTGCAAACGACTTTGAGCCATGTCATTCAGGGTCTCTAACCATCGGTTGCTATCATCTCGCGGTCCCCAACCAGGTAGTCTACACCTACCAACATGACTAAATCCACTTGTCAGTGACTTCATGGACTTGTGCCATGTTTCGGTCTGGCCGCTCATAGCTTTCTTCCAACCTACTCATATACCACTGAACATCGCACGTGGTGAAAACAACAATAACAATATTTAAAATAATGTTACTTGTATAATTTTCACACTTACAAATTTTGTATCTGCCAATTGACAAGAAATCTCTTCAATATTTTCCTGGGTATTTTTTGTAGAAATTTCTGAATTACAAATATTCGCCATATTCAGTATCCGTAACCAAGACTTAATTATTGAATAAATATATTTTGTTGGTAAATTATTCTCTTCAAGTTCGTTGAAATTGAAACGAAATGGTGTACATAATGTGCGATGAGAGAAATTTGAATTTGATGCATAATTGATAAATTTCGATATAGGTTCAGATAGACTTTTAGATTCTGAATAAAATTGTGTAAGATTTCTATTAATAAAAGATATTACTGAAATATATAAAAAAAGTACAGATTATTTATATATGACAGGACGATTAGTGAAAAAGTATAACTTTAATTTTAAAGCTTTCGTTTAACCTAGAAATTGTTGTCATATTTCTTATTGTTCTAGATCCATCATTCATTAATCATTTACATATTACCATGGTCTTGTATCAATGATGTCTAAGTTATGTAAATATTATAGGTTTTTGTGTTGTGTAATCAAATATTTCAGGTCTATTACCGTACAAATTTTGAGTCATTATTGAATCGAATAGACTAAAGGACTGATATGCTTTTTGTATCCGCCTTCTAATTGGTCACTGGGTTAGAAGGGGCTCCAGGACTACTAAGGTCTTGGTGACTGGTTCACTGATCTTTGTGCCAATCAGTACACAAATGGTCATCGGTCATACTGGCAATATAGATGAATTAATCGATAATCGGATTAAAAAAAGACAGACCACACAACTGTTTTCTTGCCACTACAACTCGGAAACACGAGACCAAATACAGCCCAAGTAAGCAATCTGTTTCCTCTTATGCATATGTATACGTATAACCAATCTTGAATAATGGGATCATTTTTTAGGCTTGGTTCAGCACGATAAGTGATTATTTCGTCATAAGTGTAACGAATGGGACAACAATTTAAAATTGTAAATATTACTTCGGAAGTTATAAATTTTAAAACATGGTAAACATTATATTCATATTTTGCTAAGAAAACCAGCGGAATTCACATTTGCAGAAACTATTGACTGTTAATTGCAGATATTCGGAGAACAATCGTCAATATTCCATACCAGATATATGTGTTTATAGCAGGTTAGTAGGGGGTAAAAGATGATTGCTTGATACATGCTAGCATCGCTATTCGTCAACAATGAAATATCCCGACTGCAAATATCTGCAGACCCGTTGGTCTGTGGTTTGCGGTATGTGTGGTATCTTCAGCTACACAAACTCCCATAGTGGCAAGGACTGAATTTGATTCCAATATATATTTAGTGCAACAAGATGGTTCCCATCTGGAAATAAATTATCTGTAGAAATTCTCTTCAACAAACAAATGTACGCAAGTTTCACAGTATTACAGCTGAGAAAAACGAAATACCAAATGTTGGAGTTGCGGCAAGTCTCATTTTGTTAAATTTTGGGCTAGACAAACATGAAGTTGGTTACTACTCAATGATCAACCGATTGAAAATATCTATCCTAAAGGAAGTCAGTTGCGGTCTGAATAGATCAATGGTAACGTCTCAGACCGCGAAACTGAGTGATACGCGTCCAAATCGTATAAATAACATCAGTTCCCCCAACACTACAGGCACACCCTATTATTGAGTATCAGCCAACATAAAACCTAGGTCTAGAGTTTCACCCTGTCAGCTACCTTCAGTAGCGTAATGCCGATTAATTTAGACTAGTGATCACATAACAACTTAATCGTTAGAGTTTGATCAGCATTATTAAAAGATTAGAACAATAAATTTTACTGAGCACATTACTTGAAAATCATTGGTCATTATTCGGCCTAAGAATAACAACAGTAGAAATTCATTAATTTTACCAGAAATAAAAAACCACAAAAAATAGTGTAATAATAATAATAATAATGATAAACTAATCCACTTACATGTAGTAATGATCTCATTACAACTCTTGAATTGATACAGCTTAAACGCCGCCAATGCATACAAAAGTCCAGCTGAATTTTTATTCAGTGAATTAAAAACAATAATAATTATAATGATAACAGTAATAATAATGAAAAAACTATCGGACAAAATCTTATTCCATACTACTTAGTATAAATGACAAAACGAAACAATATTACATAATCACAGTTGAACATAATTGGTTAATTTTAGAAGTGCCCCCAAATGCCCTGGTATGGCCGAGAGCAAGGTGGCCTCGCCCTCCCTCTCGACAAGCTCTCACATGGCCACGCGTATACAGCCTCTGCCAGGGAAGTCCTACTCACGAAATTGAGAAGACGAAAAGCGAATGTCTGGCGCTTTAATCGGGTTGGTGGACAAGGATAGTCCACCTAGGGGAGTTGGGAAACCCTCATTCCAAACCAATGGTGCACATGGGCTCCAGGATCCTGAAGGAACAAATCGCGTATGAACTAATCGTTGGTTATCGGCTACCATGGGACTGCATCTCCTCACGATGCTCCACTGCCTTGTGGGTCAGACGTTTAGTTCCAAGGCTCGGGGTGTGGCCCCCTAAGAAAACCGCCTGCTTCGGTATGGGCACCCGGGCAGTATCCCAGCCCTTACAAAAATCGAATGATTTATGTAGCGCATATCTATTTGGTGCCTCCTTGTACCAATCGTTATGTGATTAAAAACATAAATAAAATTTTAGAAGATGAAGCTTATCATAACAATGTGATATATTGATGGTTGAATATGTGTACTGAAATAATCCAAAAAAAAGCCAAAATAAAATCAAATAATTCAATATGAGTAGTAGATAAATATTCATTCTTTTTCATGATTGAACAACATTATAGTTGAAAAAGGATTATAAGATTGATCTTAACTAAGCTTTTGTAATTTTGTACAAAAGTTGATTCAAGGGTGTATAATCCTAAGGTTTATTAAAGTCTTGGACATTAGACAATTCAAACCGCTTTGATATGTATCCAAAAATAGTTTGTTCCTACTCTAGACCCACCATAGTAATATTGTTTTATTATACGAATAACAACATTAAAACAACTGTGGTCTAAATACCAAGGTTGAACTTGATAGTTCTAAATAAATTGAGCACTGGGCAGAAAGTTATTATTAAATGAATATACTTTTCAATTCACTTGGTATTGTTCGGTTTGTATCTTCCCATTGAGGTTTAAGACTGCAATTGATCAGTCTGTTATTGGCATATGTGCATACTGTGCGTATGCCTCGATATTACCTTAATTCACAAGCTATTTGTAAGCAATGATGGATAGTGGCTAGCAGTGGAATGCAGAACAGCTGGATGTACCTGCATCTCAGAGAGTTGATGTTCACTTTTGGTTGTATCCCAATAAGTAGAAAAATTGTATTTCTGACAAGTTCAAAGTATACAAGTGTTGATGTAATTCAGTTATTTATTTACTCTAAAGAAGTGATTAACATTACGTCACAAAATGTAAGAAATACAATTTTCCTACTAATTGGAATATAACAAAAAAGTATTTATTATTAATTGTGGTCTACATTTATTATTCATAACTATTCCACCAATTTTACACTCTTCAAACCTGTCACTTAGCAATATTATTAATTTTAAAAATGATATAATCGGTTATTATTAATTCAAGAATGATACAAAAATCAATAATTTGTGTAGTGATCTTTTTTTTTAATAACGATGAGTTCCAGTAACCATGTTATTATTAGTTCAGATTCAATTTTGAATGTGATTACAGTATGTTAAATTTTTATGTATTTCGGATATGACGGGATGAAAAGTGAAAATTAGATTGATTTACTTATTGTGATCTTTGGGTTAACATTATTTCCGTTTTAATTCAATGTAATGATTATTCAATGTTTTATTTATTTATTTATTTTAACACATAGATATTGGTACAAGGAGGCACCAAATACATATGCGCCACACAAATCTCATTCGATGTGTGAAGGCTGTGATACTGCCCGGGTGCCCAAACCGAAGCAGGTGGTTTTCTTAGGGGGCCACACCCCGAGCCTTCGACCTGAAGATCTGATCCACAAGGCAGTGGAGCATCGTAAGGAGATGCAGTTCCATGGAAGCCGGTGACGTGACCAACAACTGGTTCATACGCCTTTTGTTCCCGCAGGATACTGGAGCCCATGTGCACCATTGATTTGGAATCCGGTTAAAGCGCCGGACATTCGCTTTTCGTCCTCTCGTTTTTGTAAACAACACCCCCGCCACGAGAAGGCAGTGAGTAGAACTCCCCTGGCAGAGGCTATATACGCGTGGCCATGTGAGAGCATTTCGAGAGGGAGGGCGGACTCTCCCCACTCTCCGCCGTACCAGGGCATTTGGGGGCTATTCAATGTAGCATTCGGTTTTGCTTTCCAGTATGACCTTTTTATTCTATATAACATACGATATTCTTACATTCAATTGACATGTACTATGCTCAGCATATGATTTGTTATAACTGTAAATATTTTTCATATATGTGATTTCATCTTAATTATTAATCAAAAATGGGTGCATGAATCAATATATAAATGAGTGCATTTTCAACTAGACTTGTCGTGGTTGTTTGTGCTTCTGACTGCTTGTGGAATATATTTCCCTCTTCCAAACATGAACTTCTCTTTCTAGTTAACTGGGCTGAGACACATCGGAATAGGTAGATTATCTGTCATTGTGTCACAAAGTGTTCGTTCCATTCACAGATTAAGTAAACTCGTAATCTTTTCAAACATAGCAATTTCTGGAGAAAAAAAGTGCCCACTCGGATGTATTGGGCACATATTTCGATAACACTTAAACCAATTACTATTGTTTTCTTTGATATTTATGGTTATAGCCTCAAAATTTATCGTTTATGAAAAAAACCACAATTGTTTTATTAATGTCAATTACATAATTCTGATAAAAATTCGTCATTTTCATCATATCAACTAAATTTATTAAGAAAAACTGATTGTTGTAAACTCATTTTCTTTCAAAGGAGAACCCCCTGAGCAAATTGTGATTACAGTATATTACAATATAATGCATTATTCAATCACGATCGAGAGAACTAAATTTGAGCTTTTAAGTGAGATTTAAAAATGAATGGATTTTATCTTACATCCCATAAAAATTATAAAAAACTTAATACAGTGGATTAGTATGTTTTTTAACAGATGAATTAACGAGTTAATCTAAGCTAGACTACCACTGAAAACCCAGAAACACTGGAAAGCCGTTTCGTCCCGGTATGGGACTCCTCAACAGTGCACGTCCACGATCCCGGACGCAAGACTTGAACCCAGGACCTTCGGTTTCGCACATGAACACTTAACCTCTAGACCACTGAGCCGGTTTCCAGTGGTGATCTAGCTTAAATTGACTCGTGAATTAAACTGTTAAAGTACTACAACCTCCACAAGTACCTAAGTAGTGGTGGGACTATAATTTATGAACGACCTTTGAGAAAATCCACCTAATTACTGGGGTCAAAAGAAGGTTATAGATTAGTGAGAGGAATTAGGATTAAAATGGACAGTCAGAAAATAGGGTTTTCATCACAAACAGATCAATTGCAATGCCAAAATTTTGTTTAGCTATATGGATGCAAGAACTTCATTCCAAAATCCGAGACTTTCTAACTTTTATTTCATTAGTTCGTCCTTAAACTACAGTCTCGCTGAAGCAGCAGAAATAGTATCAGGGACAGTAGGAAAAATTAGCTATAAAGAGTATGATTGAAGAAGAATTAATTCACAAAATAAAAGGTATAAACTCAGGATTAAAGGGAAGACAAAGAGTGGATGAATCTGTATCATTTCTAAAATGATATAGTGATGAGGTACAGGTTGATGTTTGAACATTTAACTATTTAAAACATTGAATTTAACAAGGATAATAGGGAAGATGTGCCTGATAAAAGTCAACCATGAGTGATCATTGAACGAAAACAGAAATATTCGACAATACTAGATTTAAGAGATTATCTCATACTGCTTATTATCCATTCCAATAATTTTCCACTTTGATTACATATACCCTGATTGTGATCTAACTTGGTTCTTCAATACTGGTTAGGTAATTGATTCGTGTGTCACATGATCCATTCCCCAGTCTGATGATATTTAATTCTAGTGTTCAGTACAGAATCAGAGAAATTCTAATTTTTTCATCACAACAAGTACAAAAACACAAACATGGGTTACCTACCATGAAGATCAATTATTCCATTCTTTGAACAGTTGACAAATCCAACAACTCCATTGAAATCAAGTTTGTTAATATCACTTTGAATAAGATTCCATAAATCTGAACATTTTTCATTATTCTGATTGCTAGAATTTGTAGTATCATCATCCACATTATTGGTTGATGAATAATTGGGAATGAAATAAGTATATAAACGATATAACAACTGACTCAAACATAGTGTAATATGAGTTGTTTTAGTTACATCGGTTGATTGTTGTATTGTTTCTAACATTTGTTCAAATTGTTTTAATCGTTTGAGGTACACAGCTGATGAAGTGATAAAGGGTACTCTTGACTGTTGCGTTATATTCTTGAATTTTAATTTATTACATAAACTCTGGTCAATAAATTCAGGAAATCCATAGACTGATTATTTTTATTTAAAGGAAGAAAAAATCAGAAACAGAAATGTTTGCAAGTAACCATGTGATATTTTACAATCATATTTATAGTATTAAAAGTATCCCATTGTTTTATGTAATTAATGATTAATAAACATGAAAGCCTAGAAATGGCATGGTACGGTCGACCGTGGAGAGAAGTAGCTCTCTTCAAATGCTCTCACATCGCCACGCGTGTACAGACACTCCCACGAAAGTCCTAGTCACTGCCTTCTCTTCGAGGGTGTTTTAAACGAAATTCAGAGGACGAAGAACGAATATCCGACGCTTTAACCGGTGGGTATGGAGGATCCACTTAGAGGAATGGGTTAACCTTCATTTCAAACCAACGGTGAATATGGACACCAGGATCCTGAGGGAACAAATGGCGTATTAACCTATTGTTGGTCACCGGCTACCATACGACTGCATCTCCAAAAGTTACCCTACTGCCTTGTGAATTGGACCTCTAGGTCAAAGGCTCGGGAAGTGGCCCCCTAACAAAACCATCTGCTTTGGTCTGGGCACTATTCCAGCCCTCACACAAACCGAGTGACGAAATGTGGTGCCTCCCTGTATCAACGTTTAAGTATTTAAATAATAAATAGTTTACTTAACACGTTTTACTCACAACTTTAAGTAATGAAATGGTTACTCAGACAACATACAGTAAGTTATGGTTTAAAAAATTCTTTGCCTATAAGGTGCGACAGGGATTGTCAAAAGAACTTTAATGTCATAAGTTTGATCAAACGGTGTGTTGTTATTCAAGCGCATTGAGATGATAATATTCAGACATTAATTAATAACTGTCTCATATTCAATATGAGTTAATTCCAACAGTCTCAACTTCTCACCAGAACTTATGACATTTATTTCAAAGTTAGTCACTAATAATCCCTTGACTACTCAACAATCGGTTGGTTTGTAGAAATTAATTCAATTTGGAGATAGTTTTCGTTTTCAGTTTAAAATATAAACTGCAGAAGGCTAAAACCTAATGGTCTTAAGGGATAATTTGCATATTGAGAAACCTAACGGTCATTAATTCGACCTTTGTAGAGAAATCGTAAGCACTACCATTGAGAAGTTTCAAACTGAGATGAGAAGCTATTTAATATCCTCTGATAGCCAATCATTCCTTTTCCATCTGACATATATTCATTGATGACAAGAACTAAACTTTAAATTGAATGAGTCTTTATTGGTACCCCATCTTATCCACTTATTGAAGTAAATTGTGTTTAACTAATAAGATTTTGAGCTTCATTCATAAGAAACTGGCTATTTTTTATGACACAATGTGCTCATACATTGATTTATGAGGGAGAAGTGACAAGACAGTCAAACATCCAATACCATTGAACATATATTTTTCCTTTACTTGCACTTTTCAAAACTTATTATCTGGTAAATAAGCTGCTTTAGCTCCCCTACATATCTTTTTTTCACTATAATTTAGCGCAAAACACTTTTATGAGTTATGACAATATTCATATATGTATAGAATAGATGGAATGTGGCTAGGATACGGATTTCGCCCCATTTGGAAATCTGAGATGCAGATACAACAAGCTGATAAATCTCAAATAGAACGTAACGTGAGTTCTGAATTTCATTACTAGATACACGTCATCTATTATACATTATTTTTGTTTTATAGTAGGCTATGCCGAGGTAATCTGAACAGAATGCACGACTTCACTAAACCATAATTTAATCAGAAAAAAGTGTTACTAGGCCTAGCAAGAAGAGTATTGTCTACAGCCAACCTGCTTATTGACCAGAGTTAAAGTATTTTTGTTTTTATTTTTTTCAAAACACAGTTCCGTTCACATTAAGTTTTTAACACTAAAATAATGTAAAACCGAGGAAATTCGACAAAATAGTATTCTATAAATTTAAAACCTTTAAATGTTTTGCATAATTAAACGAAAAACCAATGGTAGGTGATAAGTCATTTTCTTCAAAAAGTACACATCTAATAAATGTTTATCAAAGTAAAATATGAAATATGTTGTAATAAAACGCATATGTCCAGTTAACTCCTGTAACATTATGTGGTTGACTTCTCGAACAATACATAGTCAATGAAAATGGTTGGTGACAGCGTGTATGACAGAACTAACTTAGGAAGATAATACATTTTATTATTTTGTATGCCAAACCTGAAAACAAACAACATACAAGTTTACATACCCTTAACTAAACTCACATAAGAAATATTCGATTTGTAAACGAAAAGTAGCTTCAAGAGCATATACATTGTCTGGATCGTGTTCAAGAACAAATTCGCATATATCATTAAATTCATTAAAATCAAAGGGTAACTATAAAAGCAGAAAACAAATAAATAATATCAACTTTTTGTCAAATCTAATGATAATAAAGCTGAGAATTAAGAAACTCAAAATATGTAATTCATTCTAATAATCAATCGACTTGGACTGCTTATTATTATTATTGTTATTATTATTATTATTATCAGATTAACTTACCATCATTCCATTGATAGTTATTTTATATTTAGGTGCAAAACTATGCACTAGCGTTGAGTCATGATAGAAAGCGAATTTGTAAGAAGTATTTCTTAGCTTGAGGCGTATTTTTAATATCTAAGTAGTTGTATTTAAGTTATTAAAACTGAAGAAACATAGAACACCGACGATGAATCGAAATATTTTGTCTTGTTATAATGTGAGTAAATTATGATGGACTGATAAAGTCTAATAAATGTAGATAAATTTATGTACTAAACTATGAGTCATATCCACTGTGTATATTGATTAGTAAATTGTTGATAGGTGAGGATGTTGATCGCGTGATCAACCCACTAGTAAAAAATTAAGTGCATGAACTAACCAGAAATCTCTACAAACCATAATTCGAAAGATAAAAAACATATTTTAATGTAATCAGTTTATTTGTGGAACAAAAGACAGTGCCAGTGTCAGTGATTTAAGGACTATGACAATGAAATGATACTTTGAGTCACATTTAACAATAAATGATTGTATATTTGAACATGAATTTTGTTTTCTGCCTCTCGCGAGAGAGATGTGTCAGTAACTTCAGGTCAAAATAATTTCTCTCTCTCCCTCTTTGGGAGATTCGAACCCTGATTCCAGGCATTATTAATGTAAACTCTGACAGCTAATTACGATTGCTGTAAAGAAGCCTCTAAGAACTGAAAGAATACCACGGAAACGATTTAATTTTCAGTGGTGCTGTAATGTAAACTGGATTTTCAACTTATTAGAGCAGTTTATACAGATATGAAAGAGATTGAATATGATCAGTAAATGGAAAATGCTGATAATCAAAGATAAAAAGTTATGTTTACATTATCATTGGCAATAAGATGACAGAGATTAAATTCAGACGATATATCATTCCCATACTCATGGAGTCTCAGCAATACGTGGAACGTCGGCTCAATGGTCAGGGCCCCAGACTTTCAGTTACTAAGTCTCAAGTTTGAACCCCGCAATCGGGTGATATTCCGAGAATGCGGCTCACAGCGAAGTAAATAAATCTTCATGTGATGAACTACAGTAAATCGGTACTATATAGTAATGTAAATATCTTTCTAACACAGCGTTTTGGGTAACAATTTCAGACTGATCCGATAAACCAATAACACGAGTGATCTAAAAAATCTAGAAAACTTAGAAACAATCGAAACTCAGGTAAAATACCTTAAAGTAATTAGTCCCTTTGATAAATTTCGATAGTGTAATAAGAAGATGAAGAGTATTAGAACTATGTGATATATTGTCGCAATAAATTTCGAACAATCTTATCACACACATACTTGTTAAGATCATTTATCTATAAAAATAAAAGGTCAACTAGACTAGAAATGGAGGGTAAGGAGAGACAAGGACAATTAAGAAAATGTGAAAACAATCTGAAACCTCATCACTCTGGATAATAAGCTAATGTGATGTTTGTATGAAATGATGATTCCTTTGTACTTCATGACTGCCTGATTTAGAATTTCAAATACAATACGTTCGTTTGTGTTCATCTAGTTCTCGTCGGTCTAAATTGCATTCTTCTTGGGATTCTTATTTTGTACTATAATCCAAATACTTCAAATCATCACATCGGTATTGCGATGGAGCCTGTGATGGAGCGGTTGGACATAAATTCAAATTTTGATACTTCTGATGATTATGTGGGAAGGTTCGAAATCTGGACTATGACCGAGGAAGATATTGAGGATGTTAATATTGTAGCTCATTTCCTTACACTTATCGGAGTAGAAGCATACAGCTTAATAAAGGCATATCCAGACAAACCGATTTCACTCCGTTATGCAACTCTCAATGAACTACTACTGGACCACGTAAAGTGTACAAAATTTGAATGCGGTAAAGAAGAAAATTTTCGTAAAATGATTTGTCAGGGCATCAAGAATTACACCACTTTACTACGTCGTCCCATTCTAATGCGTAATCAAGGTTATTCAGATAACAATTCATTGAGAAGTTGCGGAGCAGGTCACGAAGATGAACACGAGTTTGGTAAATGCTCGTTCTATGGCAAGTTTCGGACGTGTAATTCATGTGTTGTTTGTAATTCTAAACTCTTTAAATGTGATATGATTGGATAAATTGCATCAATACTGATGTTTGTCGATTGCCGATTGACTCAAGTGTCGAGCTTCCAGAAATTCTTTGTTCTTAGTATTCCCTATATCCAAAATTTCTATACTTTTCCCGTCTAATTTGTCCCCGAATTTATTCACATGTATTGATATAAGCAAAGATATGTCATTGAGTTCGACAGCTAATTTATGCTCATACAGGTTAAGATGAAAATGGCGCCCACTTTGTCCGGTATAGCGTTTTCTCCTATTGGAACAGTTTGTTTTGTAGATAACGTTTGGCTTTTCTTCCTTTGTCATTCCGTTCTTTGGTTTGCATAGGATTTATTGGAGCGATTTTTCAGGTTTGTGTGCTACAATTATTTCGAACGGCTTCAATAATCTCGTAATTTTTTATCTTTATATATGGAAGGATGATCCGTTTACTGGTTTCTATACTTGGTTTCATTTTTGCTGATGAGCTGAGTTGATATTTCTTGATGAAGTTGAGTGGATGTTCCACATCATTCCGCACGCTGCAAATGTGCTGCGGTAGGTTCTCTCTCTCTCTTGAGTAAAGCTTGAATGTGATTTATGTTTTGAGTTGTTGAGCTGTTGCTATAGTGGTTGAGGATTCGATCTGTGTAGATTGGCTTCTGATATAATTGGATCTACAGTTCTACTGAGTCAGTTTTCATGATCAATACGTCCAAGAATGATAGTTTGTTTTTCGACTCCTCTTGCACTGTGAATTTTATGTCATCAAAGACTTAACTTATCGGATTGTAAGTGTTTCCCAGTTCAACCTTTCTGATGATGACGAATGTGTCATCCATATAACGTATCCACATTTTTAGATCGATCACTGGTGAAATCGAGGCTTCTAGTATCTGTATCACTGTTTCTGCAATGATTCTTGAAATTGGTGATCCTATTGGTGTTCTATTCGTTTGTTTGTAGATTTCATTGTTGAATTTAAAATATGTTAAGCTTCGTGTACTTTTGGACATTTGTGTTACTGGTGAGTAGTAGGGGTAGAGTTTCTATTCGACTGAGGTGAATAAGGCTGTTACGTAGAAGGATATCATCAGGTCGTCATTGCTCAATTGAACCTCCCTAATCTTATCCGAGAATTGTATAGGAGATTTAATGAAGTTGTCGGATAAATGCATTGACTTGTCCAATATCCTTGAAGTTCCTCCTGATAAATTGTATTTTAAGGTTTCAAAGAGCGATACAATTGGACATAGTGAGATGTTTGGTTTGTGTCGTTTCGACCCATAGTATAGTCGAGGAAGCACTGGTCTACTGGATTACATTCGTTACTGACCTTTTTTGATATTTGTCCTGGTCTCACAAGCTTGTTTAAAGACCTAAAAATTTAGTTGTCCTACTAATTGAATAGTTATTTTGTGCAGGTTTAGAGCTACACAGTCGTAGATATCAGAGATCTTAAATAATATTTTCCAGAGAACATAAGACCTTTACACCACTGAGAAATAAACGTGATCAGAAGTTAATTGAAATATGGACAAGAGATAACGATTAAGCAGGTCAATTAAGCGCTAGTGATGATACAATCTGACCATCAGTTCTAATTTTAGCACCGCATATCATCCATATTTCTAAATTCAATCAACTTGTGGAACATTACGATCATCAATGTAAAGGTCAATTAACGTCCTAGACATAACTGGGAATAAGAGATGAATAGCATAAAAAGGGGATATTTCAATCATTTTCCAGTCGAATGAGCGCATCTACCTAGTGAAAAACGTCTACAAATAGGTCAGTGCATTATCAAAAAGGAACGACTTGACTAACTAAAAGACGCGATGTCTGATACTGTTTTGCACTTAATCAGGGTTACACTACAAACAGAAAAGTTTGACCGACAGAAAAAAAACGATTGTGAGTTTAAAAAAACTAAACCGGTAAACTTACTGGTAGTCGAAACTGAACCACGATTTGAACAAACGTTTTTGCGTACTCTAAATATTTTCCAGTGGGGTCTGATCTGAAAAATCAGTCGACAAAATAATTGTTGAGTGGTCGCGAGCTTACTTCAAAGGATCACAAAGTATTTGGAAATAGCCAAATTACATATGCATTATTTAATTGACGTCATAAAACAAAAACGTACTTTGAGCATTTTCCGACTAGTACTGTGCATACTCTTAAGAGAATTCTTTGATTTTTGTCCGGGTTTTTCTTTGTTTCATTGTAAAGACCCTGATGGTGGATTAAACGCAAAAAAACTTCGAGTTATTTAATAAGGGATAAGATAAACAGTAAAAAATGGCATTTTGTATTAAGTAGAATTCATACTCATTACTTAGAACTACATACTGCATAACTTGAGTATCACAACAAATACCAACCCTTTATAAAAGACCATACTAGCTAAGGTGCGAATAAATGACAGGTTCAATTCCTTAGACCGTAGAATGATGTTGAAACTGAGATCGGGATGAAGTACAAGTGAAAAGTGAAGGCACTTTGTATATTCTCCAGTTGTCTTTATCACGTATGCCCAACATGTTGCTTTTACTTCCACTCTAGCTTTGTGACACTGACTATGACTTACATCCCAACAAATACCAAAAAGTCACGATTCTTGAACAAACTTACAATCCAAGCCATGTTGTTTGTAGAATCAATCGAAAGAGCGGAAAAATATGATTCAATCGCTTCCTTCTCGTTCCCAATTTGAGAGCAACAGGCTCCATGAATAACGAGTGTCCCATAATCTTGTGAATTAACTAGCAGTTCCTGAAATATAGGTATAATTTTGGTTAACATTGGGTTACCCCAGTAAGTTTATAACACTCCTCAAACTTTTCGGCCTTATATAACTCCCTGGCCTGTTTTAAGAGTTGGCTCATATTTAGTAGTTTTTTAAATATGACTAAAGAAATGAATCAGAATCTGGAAATAAAAAACTACGATGAGACGACGCTGTAGCGCACCATTTATAAAAGTGGGAGTCCTTATAGAACAGTTGTAAAGTTCAACCTTTGATAGTTGTGTGTCTAGCTTGAAAATATTTATGTGCCGTGGATATGTGATAAGCAATGTGCTAAAGAGAATCCGGAGATGGAAAAACAAGAGGAAAGTTGACCTGACGACTCAATAAGCCCACAGAATGCATTTATATCCAACAAAGAAAATAATCGCTAACATCAGCACAAATATAAGATTAAGATAAACTGACCATCGGAACTAGAAGTTAATGACGAAGGGCCCCGGTTGCACTACACAGTGTTCAATGTATTTGTAAAAGACTAGTATTCGAGACTTTGTTTTGAGGATAAAACAGAGTAGACTTGTGATAGGCTTTTTCTCCCATTTCTCTGTTTGCAGATCGTCTCTTGACCAAGACATAGCCCTGGTTGTTAGTGGTAACTTGTGATCTCGCGGTAGATTAATCCTGCGCATTGCTAGATTTATAACAACTTAACATTTTTTGTATGTATATAAAGATACCTCTGGTATTCGAGGTTCGACAACACGTTTGCACGTAACTCCGTTATAATCAGAGAATGACAACCCACTCAAATCAGAGGCTAGAAATGGAGAGGTTCGAAGGTATGTTAAAAGTTTTCGATATGTCGAGAAGCTTTTAGTGTTAGCTGACTAACGATTGTAAGAGATGAGTAGCACGACGTGTCCACTCATGATCTGGTGAGGGTGTGTGATCAGGAGCCTTTAGCCAGGTGTGCCCACTGAAACTAACTACGTAAGCATTGAATGCCGGACCTACCGGACTATTTATTTTGGGGATTTATATACCACTATATATACATTATAAATGATTGAGAATTTTGTTGCCTGTCTTCAGTTACCTTCTAGCTTGTGAACCCGATTCAAGCCTTTCCGTGTACTAGTCACACCGACTTTTAGCCTATTGTTGACACGAATCAAATCTTTATTGTCATATCTCTGTCAAGCCTCAAAGATATTCGTGATTAGGCAGCTTTCTTTGAGTCACACACAAGTAGCTCATGGGATGTAGATTCCTTAAAAGAAATACTACACTTCCATTTGTCCATCTAATGGCTAACAGCTGTGTGTGCGATTCAAAGGTAAATTTCAGTCTTCGCTTATCGGGTTAGTACGTTTTCCAAACTGTTTTAAGCCCTGCATCATGTTCTTCAATGAAGATTAGTAACAACTTAGGTTTAATAATTAAATATCGGTCGCAAATATTTTAGTAATGTCAAAACATTATAGCTCAAGTGCTCGTTCACTTCCTCATCTTACAAGGCATTATATTTCCTATAACTGTATACTGAACATCGAAAAAATGTGTGTTTGAAAACATAACTGCGCGCTCCAACCATTCTGCCTAGTGGTCTAAATAAAGACCTATCTACCACAAGTGTAACTGCTTGTAGCGTGGCGTCGAGTCGAAATTGACTATAAACACCGCTACAGAGAAACACGTGCCAAATAAATCCATAAAATTCCCCGGAAGATCGCTGGCGATCTTGTGGTATCGAAAGGATTTAGAACTATGGTCTACTATGATATTAGTACTGCTCTAATAATAGACCTAATCCTAAAATTGTAGATTTGTCATGATATAACCGCCTAATCTATAAGATCTTACGTGGAAGTCACACCATCGACTACACCACCTCACTGTATCGTATCAATTACCAATACATGATGTGGAACAAGGTTAGTCTAGAGAAGGAACAATATATTTAATATGAATAGAAGATATAAGGTAACATTCAGAGGGACCACGCCTGCATGGCCAAGCCATGCCACTCGATCAACTTCAGTCCATTCAATTCATTCTTCTGGCCTTCTCCATCGTTAGGTATTTCTTCGCGTTAAATATTGAATATCTATTTTCTGAGTAGTCTTGTGTTCAGCTTTGAGGATTGTGTGGTTGTGGTCCAATGTCACTACAAGGATACCGAGATCGTGCTAGGATACAAGCTTGGTTACGGAACGTAACCGCGCGAAGTCACAATCAGAGTGTGTATAATGGATGTTTTTTAGCACAGTTAAACAAAAGCATATTAAAACAGTCACTGGTACAATTGGTTACAATAATGATTGTTTTCGATAAACCAATCATGTTCTCGTGATAAAGGTGAGTCACTACATGCTTCTATCGACAGAACGAAGGATAACCACTAGTAAGAAATCGGTGAGCCCTGTTTTTAACACAAAAAATTAATTTCTGTTTTGTCTATTTTTTTCTTAGCTATAATAGTAAGTCTTCTGATTAACATTAACTTCGTGTATATATTTATGTAAGATCCAAACTACGTTTGGACTGCTGGACAGCTGTCTGGATGAGTTAGATACGCGCCCTCGCCCGATTGAAACCAAAACAAAGTAATTGGGTAAGATAGCGGTTCTATAATTTATCATAAAATTAAGTGTACATTATTACCTAAACAAATATAACCACTCAGCTATCCAACCAATAATTGTTCAATTGATCAAATCTAAACTACAATAAATAAGAAAGTTGATAAAGGATGCAAGAAAATTACCAATCACCACAAATAAATGTTATTCTATCCTGTCTGGATAGATCACGTACAGATTCGTTCAAAAGGTAATAATTGGTCGCTCTATAACACAGAGTGTTTTCAATTCCGGAAGAGTGCTTCACTTCACAACCAAAATGCACAATTCCAGTCAACACAGGTCAAGCAATCAAAGCAGGAACAAACCAAAATGGCTGCCGCCAAGACTAAGTGTCAAGTAAAACAACATAAGTGCAGTTCGGGTAGAAACATGGGGAATTAGTGAAGGTGTAGTAAAGACGAAAACTATAATAAAATACAGATATTAACAATTCAAATGTAGCCAAAAAGTTAACAATGTACAACTAAGGGGATCAATAGGAACAAAGTGCAAGTAAATACATGGAGGGATTTTCACAGACACACAAAGCATTCAAAATGGATCTTACACCGGCCCCCAAAATCCCTCCATATCACACAAGCTGCCTTGATGCCTATGGTCATGGTTCATTATGTAGCATATGACACTATAGGAACGAGTAGGACTTACAACAGTACGCCTACTCGACCTACCTACATTAATAACAACAAAGACTAATCCGAAGCTTCAAGGAGACCTGTTTCACTTGCTCTCTGGTGTTCAACAATAACACTCGTGGTATAGACTTAGTCACTCTTCCCCAAACTCCACCCATGCTGTTGGATGAGGGCCTCGCTGACAATTCACTATTTATCTTCTGCTGATCCGACTGTTGCACAAACTTCCTTAACTCAGAAAATGCCCACACGAAGCTTGACGCACTGTCACTGTAAATCTCCGGAGGTTTCCATCTTCCAATACAACGTAATAAGGCCATTATAAATGAATCAGTAATCAAACTACACATCATTTCAATATGTACTGCCCATGTTTGCAAACAAGAAAACACATATCCATACCCTTTTTCTAATGATCTTCCTATGTGTCCTTGTTCTTTAGGACAATGTCTAATAATCATTTCCGTCACTAAGTGTCGACTGGGTAAAATTACTGGATGTTTAAAAGTATTTGGGGAATCTGAGTATCTTAGTCGACCTCCAACGCAGAGTAACCCATCACACATTATCAATGCTAAACCTTTCAGACCATCATGACATATTACTTTACTGCTGTTTTTAAATTCACTAAGTAATTCTCCATACACTTCTCTCTGAACCATCAATAAAATCTTACGCTTGGCAATACCAAGCTCCTTGACCTTTAAACATCCTAGATGAACGGATCCTTCATGACTCGGGGAACGAAGTACCATCAGGAATTTTATGAACCTTCTAAACCAGGCTACGGCCCTGACTAATTTCAACCACTCGGAATAATAAGAGAAAATAGGTGACATGTTGTACTTTATACTCAAGTTGACCACAGCAGTTTTTCTAAACTCACTATCGTCAGAGAATATTTGTGCGGTCTTATTGAAGGCAAAGTTCGCACGAAACGGCGATGATGTGGTACCAAATGCATGATTTGTCATTTGAAACTCAGATGGTTCACTCGACATGTCCCCTTCCTGCCACCACAGAAATCTTGAAGCTCCTCGACCAGACTCAGGGAACTTCACTTCCATGAACATTTCCTCAATATCTGCAGGGATTGCAACTGTCTCCTCGCGAAAACTTAATAATATGCACATTAACTCAGCAGTGGTATCGGGTTCTTGATAAATCATATCATTCATGGAAACCCCTGCAAACTCGGCGGCACAATCAAGGACCACTCTAAGTTCTTCTGGTTTCTTCATGTTTAACACTGCATGATGAGATGAATACCCTCGAGGGCGATAATTAGGCTGCAAATATATTTCAAGGACCCTCTCCGCATAAGTCTTAGTAAATTTACTCTCAATACTGTTGATATACCTGATGTGCAGACTGACATCCTTCGAGAATATACCCTTCAAACTTTGTAATCTACGGTTCGCTACTTCATAATTATCCACTTTCATATTTGGATTCTTTTTCCATGGTATAGGGACTACAAAATGACCATTTTCGAAGCGTGTGCCCCCTTCTACAATACTTATAGCTGCCTTATCTTCTATTGATACTGATTTATCATTTGAATAAACATCAGAAAACTCTACATCATAAAGTTTACGTATTTCGTTCTCCAAAGCCTGTATCTTACTGGTATGATTGACAACTCTTTTCCTGTATTCCGGATATGACGCAGGTCCGAAGACCCTCCACCCCAACAACGTCTTCACAGCGTATGGGCTTTTTCTTCCACCCAACCGCTGGTCTAACACCCAGTGTGCTTCTGGCACATCGCAACCAATCAACAGCAGAACTTCTTCAGAGTCTAGGTTGCCTATTGGTACATCCCTTAAATGTGGCCATTTAACTAAGTTGTTCACTGCCGACCTTGTCGGCTTATGACCTGGTATATCTGCGACAATCAGAGCCCCTTCGATCGCAACATGTTCAGACCGATCAAGAGAATACACCTCAAAA